TGTTATTTCACTTCCATAAATTTTTATTTCTCTCGATATAAAATTCTCGTGTCCACGATATTCGTTCCCATATTCCTCCGAAACGGCTCGATCGATTCTTATGAATTTTTTAATGCATATTCAGTAAGTCTGAGAATCGGCTACTATCTATAGTATTTCAAACCCCTAAGTGATAAGGGGTGTCCACCCCAAAAAGTTTATTTTTATTTCTTAGACAAAAACTTTTGTTTTTATTTTTTTATGATACAGCATAAAAAAATAAAAACAAAAGTACATACAACCCTTAATTGTCACCCTTCTACGATCAACCCCTATTTTTTATTATTGTAGAAAGTTACATATTTTTATTGAACTAAAAAAATATTTCCTAGAAATAATATACATGGCAAAACAACGTTTGCCGGGTCAGCTAGTATTATTATTATTGATGTAAAACCTTATTATTTAGAATTTAAAAAGTTGTATTAAAACGTTGGCTAATTAAACCATATTTTTGGTGTACAAAACTATAATATGGTAGCAGAGCGTGGTTCGATTTGATTGGACCAACGTTTTCAACGAAGATTGAACGAAACAAATAGTGTTTTCTGGGACATTTTCATCTCATAACCTGGTGGTGATAGTTACTGGAATTTTGGTGACTGACAATCATGGAATTTCAAGGTATTGAGATGTTGAAGGGTTCGGAAAACTGGAATATTTGGAAATTTATGGTGCGTAATTTATTGCGTGCAACTGATGGAGCCTATGAAGTCAGTATTGGAGAGTTGACTAAACCGGTGCTGGTTGACAATGCGACGGCGGATCAACGTATTGGAGAGTTGACTAAACCGGTGCTGGTTGATGATACGACGGCGGATCAACGTGCGGCTCACGCAGCAGCAATGAAAGTTTGGGACAAAGCAGATCGCGCAGCTTGTCAAATCATCGTCAAGACAATTGATTCGAGAGTTATGACCCTGATTGTCGCCTGCGAGACTGCTCATCAGATGTGGACCAAACTGCACGGTATTTATGAACAACAAACTAAACAAGCTGTTCATTCGGTGCAGACGGAGTTTTTCAGTTTTGACATGAATTTAGCGGATGATATGGTAAGCCATATAGCTAAATTTGAAGGTTTGATTCTTCGTATGCAGCAGTTGAAGGTTAAACCCGATGAGTCAGCTTTGATGGTTAAGTTGCTGGAAACTTTGCCTGACAGTTTTGAAAGTTTCAGACAAGCCTGGTGGGCCAGATCGGACGATCAACAAACTCTTGATAACCTTATCAATGTTTTGACATCTGATGAGCACAGAAGAAAGCTTCGGCAAGAAAAGGTGGACAATTTATCGGCATTGATGGCAACCAAGTTGAAGGTTCAAACCAAAGGTGCAAGTGGAAGTCAACATGGTGATAAGCAGGCCAAAGATGATGTCAAGTCCAACCAGAAGGGAAAGAAGTCTACCTTCAAGTGCTACGGTTGTCAAGGAGTTGGTCATTTTCGAAGAGATTGTCCAACAGCAAAGAAGAAGAAATCTGGTGATGTGGTCTCTGAAGGTAAAAATCAAGCTTTCGTTAGCGAAGTCTTCAATGCAGAATCCAAGAATGAAGATTGGATCATCGATTCTGGTGCGACTGACCATATGACCTTCAAGAAAGAATGGTATACATTCTTTGAAGCTTTCTCGATTCCAGCTGAAATTCGTATCGGGAACAATTCAGTGATGCGTGCCTTGCGAAGAGGAACTATCAACTTCGAAGCGCTTGTGAATGGACATTGGACTCCTTGTTACATGGAAAACGTGCTGTATGTTCCTGATGCCCGAAGGAATCTGTTTTCGGTCACGCGTGTGCTGGATAAAGGCATGACTTTCAGTTCTTCCAAGGATAGATGTGAGTTCCTGCTGAATGGTGTTGTCAAGGCGCAAGGTGTACGAACTGGTCAAGTATTCAAGATGTTGCTCAGAGTCAACGAACCGGACACGTGCTGTGTGAGTGAAGCTAACCTGGCGTTCAAGGACTCCCTTCAAGTTTGGCATGAACGTTTGGGCCATCAAAACAAACGTCATGTTGCTCAGGTACTCAAGAAACACGGAATTCATGTGAAACCTGATGATGAGTTCTGTGGATCCTGTGTAGAAGGTAAGCAACATCGACAACCGTTCAACTCACGTCAACAGCGATCTTCTGAGCCAGGTGAGGTGATTCATGCTGATGTCTGTGGTCCAATGGAACAGGAGTCGATCGGTGGTTCCAGATACTTTGTCTGTTTCACGTGTGACTACTCAAGATTTCGTCTGGTGTACTTCTTGAAGAGGAAATCTGAGGTGATTGACAAGGTCAAAGAAATGTTGCAGTTTGTGAAGAATCAACGTGGTCGACCAGTTAAGGTGTTCCAGTGTGACGGAGGAGGAGAATTTGTAAATGGAGCGATTCAAAATCTCATGAAGTCTGAAGGAACGAAGATGGTAGTCACCAATCCGTACACGCCTCAACAAAACGGTTGTGCTGAACGATCAAACAGAACAATTGATGACCTAGCACGTACTATGCTTGTTAGCAAAGATCTACCGAAGTTTCTGTGGGCTGAAGCTGTCAACGCGGTGGTGTACATCCTCAACCGAACTGGTCCAAGTTCTGTAGAGGGTAAAACTCCTTACGAGTTGTTCGTTGAGAAGAGCGTTCATCTGAACAGGTTCCATATCTTTGGAACCGTTTGCTACTTGATGGTGCCCAAAGAACGTCGGAAGAAGTGGGATGCCAAAGGTGCCCAGGGAGTGTTCGTCGGGTATTCCGACGACATTGATGGTTTTCGTGTGTGGATAAAGGACACGAGGAAAGTGATTCGAAGTAGAGAGGTAGTGTTCGGTCCAGAGCATTCCTCTAAAGTTTTGGCATTGTTTCCTGCTGAGGCTACAGAAAAGGATCCCGTTGTCGAAGAAATTGAAGACCATCTTGAAAATCTGAACTCTCCTAGAGTTCTGAACTTACCTGAAGCTCCAATTCTGCCTGAAGTCCTGAATCCCGTGTTACCAGATCAAGTTGTTGATGCTGAACCGCGAATCGAAGAGTTCGATGAAACCCCCAAGACTGCAAAGGAGCCCATTCAACGGCGTCTTCGAGATAGACTCTTCAGAAACCTGTAAGATTCAATGAGATGTTTCTTGCAGAGTTAGACGAACCTCGAAGCTACAAAGAAGCCATGGAGTCGGCTGATCATGTGCACTGGAAGGCTGCGATGAAAGAAGAAATGTCTTCGCTGGAGGAAAATGGAACCTGGACTTTGACAGAGTTACCACCAAGAAGGAAGACTATCGCCAATCGCTGGGTCTTTCGTATCAAACGAGATGCGGAAGGGAAGATCTGTCGTCACAAAGCTCGACTTGTTGCGAAGGGATACAGTCAACGAGAAGGTATCGATTATAATGAAACATTCAGTCCTGTAGCTCGTTTTGATACAATCAGGGCGATCCTGAGTATTGCTGCCAAGGAACATCTCAAGTTGGCCTAGTTTGATGTCAAGACGGCATTTTTGAACGGCTTCCTGGACGAAGAAATCTACATGAATCAAGCTGAAGGTTTTGAAGACGGTTCTAATCTTGTGTGCTTGCTGATTAGGAGTCTCTATGGTTTGAAGCAATCTCCAAGGTGCTGGAACAATCGATTCAAGGAGTTTTTAATCTGTAAGTTTGGTCTTGTCCAAAGTGAAGCTGATCCGTGTCTTTTTTATCGTATATCTGATGAAGATAAGCTGATCGTTGTTTTGTACGTGGACGATGGCTTGGTTGCTGCGACGAAAGATGGCATTATTCAAGAGTTCCTGAGGAAGCTGGAGATGGAGTTCAAGATCACTCTTGAAGAGCTTGGTTCTTTCTTGAATATGCTCATTGAACGAGAGGAAGATGGCTCAATCCATTTGAGTCAGAAGGTGTATGCAGAAAGTCTTCTTCAGAAGGTCAACATGGCAGAAGCAAACGCTGTCTCGACGCCCATCGAAAAATACGTGCAATTGGAGGAGAAAACTGGTTTAAGAACATCTGCTCCTTACCGTGAAGCTGTAGGATGTTTGATGTACTTAGCTGTAGCCACTCGTCCTGAAATCGCGTGCGCAATTAGTTACGCGTCGCAATTCCTGGAAAATCCGGAAGAAGTTCACTGGTTGCTGGTCAAAAGAATCCTGAGGTACATTAAAGGGTCTAGTTCGGTTGGCATCAGGTATGAGGCTGGTTCTGGAGGAAGTGAATTGAAGGCGTACAGTGATGCTGATTATGCTAGTCAATCTGACACTCGTCGGTCGGTCAGCGGGATTGTTTTCATGCATAGTGGAGGACCAATATCTTGGGCTAGCAGACGTCAAGAGTGTGTGTCCTTATCCACAACTGAGGCTGAGTATGTCGCTGCTGGTGAAGCTGCGAGGGAATCAGTTTGGTTGGCGCGACTGTTTACAGAAGTTTCTCCCTTAGACAACGTTCCGGTTCTTTTTGTGGACAACCAAAGCGCAATCAAGTTAGCGAAAAATCATGAGTTCCACAAGAGGACCAAGCATATCGAAGTGAGGTACCATTATATTCGAAAGGAATTGGAGGATGGAAGGTTGAACATACAACATGTACCAGGTGATCAACAACTCGCTGATATCCTGACCAAGCCGCTACCTCGTCTGAGATTTGCTGAATTACGTACTGCTCTGGGAATGATTTGAACTGTTTTTGAATTTATTCATGTTTTTATATTAAAATTGAAATATCTAATGTTTTAGAGGAAGTATTGATGTAAAACCTTATTATTTAGAATTTAAAAAGTTGTATTAAAACGTTGGCTAATTAAACCATATTTTTGGTGTACAAAACTATAATAATTATAATATAATAATAATGCTTAAGCGAGATAGACAATCTCTATTCTCTATCTATATGACGTCAATTCCTGATATTTAACTTACCCATACCCGTAACTTACCCATAGTGTCGTCTCAATGTTGTTACCCTATATTGACGAAGACAGACAATTTGTTTAAAATGTCAACACATTTGACATTAAACGTCCATATAGAGGAATCGCCAGTATTTACTAAAAATTGTTATCTAATAAATGGAGACTATGAATATTATCACTATTTATGCGACGGATTCGATGATAGGGTAATTAGAATTTGTAAGAATTATAATATGTAATCTCATTTATTTCTAACCTTACGTCTTTCCTTTCCACTTTCAGGGATGGGGTTGCGGTTATCGGACATTGCAAACAATATGTTCGTGGATGAACCACAATATTGAGAAAAAATGCGCAGTGCCATCAGTTCCAGAGATACAGACGATCTTAGTTGATTTAGAAGACAAGCCAAGATCATTTTTTAATTCTAAACAATGGATTGGCAGTTTTGAGGTATGGGTCAAAAGTAGTTTCTTACACATTATTTATCAAACAAACTAAACCAAATATCTTAGAGAATTAAATTATCAGTTTGAACCAGAGTCAAGGGCAGCTCTACTGCCCAATCTAATCTATCTCTAATACAAGAATTAATAATTTAGATAATATCATTAGAACAATATTGGATATAAAGTCAATAGTATATTTTATAATATTGTACAACTTGAACATTATTTTCAAGGTATGTTTAGTAATAGACAGACTATATGACATTCCATGTAAAATAATTCATGTGAATAAAAAGGAATCTTTAGAAAATATAGTGGAGGTACTTAAAGATCATTTTATTCGGTTTGGTTCCCCGGTGATGATGGGTGGTGATGTGGATTGTTCCTCTAAAGGCATTATGGGGATTTATGTAAATGGTGCTGAATCCAGCTTGTTAATTGTAGTAAGTAAACACAAGTTATTATTTTGCATCATTTTGCGTTACTTTGACTATATGTGAATTTAAAAAATATAGTTTATTTTTATCATTCAACTGATAATGTAAACAATATGCTTTCAGGATCCACATTATGTTGGTAAAGAGCAAACAAACCATTTCTTGCAGAATAAAGGATGGGTGAAATGGCAACCACTTAAAGATTTCTTGTCATCATCATTCTACAATTTATGTTTACCCCAAACAAGAGCTGAATGTGCTAATGTCTGACGAAAAGTATTTTAAATAAAACAAGTGTTCTTACATTCTGTAGTATTTATTTAAAGTAAATTAAACTTATCTCTTAATTCTGTGACACAAATAAACAATTTTTTAAGTAAACAAATCATAAAATTAAGATATGTCTATGTAAAGTACATGTAAATAACATGTACATTTATGTTAACTAGATGAAAACAAAAAAATCTTATTTAAATAATCAATTAATACTAGAATATTAGTCAGTATTCATAATTAGACAGACACCTTGAAGCACCCAATGGCTGTAATGCTCCGCAGTCCATAAGTCAGCTTCAAACACTAGCCCCACACCCATTGCATTACGCCTCTGAGATGTAGTGTACACTGGTGTGCGAAGAGTGTTCTAAAGTAGTAAGGATTTATTATAAATGATATTTATTCTAACTTATATCCTTAAATAAAAGTTATTATTGCTGAAAGACAAACAGATTATGGACAAAAAGCAATATACAGTCAAAACCGTTTATAACGACATCGTTTACAACGACCTATCGGTTATTACAACCAGATTGTTTGGTCCCGTCCGAATCCCTAGTAAACTATTCAGTAAACAAACCGCTTATAACAACATCGGATACAGCGACATATCGCTTACAACGACGAAATTTTATCGACATTCATCGGCTATAACGACCAACCGCTTCTTGTCTCAGCAAAACAAAACAATACAAATGAATTTAAATCTTATTTATAAGCATTGAATGAATATTTAGGCATATTATTACCTACGCACTTTCTCCCGCCTCATCCGAACCAGTGTTCACAACCGTACGATAATTATCGTACATGTGCGATAATCTCATAACTACCTACGATGTACGATGGTACACGACTATCGTACGCAGATTGTACGATAATTTCCATTCTGATAAAAAATTTGATGATTACACAGATAGCCCAATAACAATTACAGTTTTTAGTGTCAGTTCCATCTATTGGCTTATTTTTCTATTAGGAACATATGCTGCCACAAGGCGACTACAGCGGATGAACAAAGCGTTAATGTACAAACACAAAAACGCATCAGAATGCACAGCCAAAAAATTCACGATTTGTATGGTGACGCTGATTCGGAAGTCTTCGATAGCATTTTAATACCTAACGAATTTAAAGTGATAAAAATAATATACGATGTTTACGGACAATCTATCGCTTAGAGCGAACACCATATTGTTAAACGAGAAAATATTGCGTATTTTTGTTCCTCTTTGACGGAAGAGATTAAAAGTTGTATATAAAACGTTAAGTTTCATTAATATTTGCGTATTCTGTTCTCGCAAATATATTCAGTTAAACTTTTAAAAATATGCTTGTTTTCATGTGTCTCTATCCTTTAACATTATTTTGTTCTTTATAAATTTGAAATGTTGGCGCCTTAATCACACTCGAAGTGGACGAGGGCCCAGCTCGAGTCTGTGCCATTCGAACATTTAAATTTAATTATTATTATTTTTTTCAATTTGAAAAACACAAGTTTACAAGATTTAAACTATAAATCGTTTGCAACATTTTATTTTCACGTTTCATATGATTTTTTAAAGTATTTTAAGCCATTTTCCTGACTGTACGATAATTTATCGTATATGGATCACACATACGATAATTTTACGGCCCTGGTACGATAACTGCCTGGCTTCAGGTTGTGAACACTGATCCGAACCTCTTCCCGGCCATTTGACCTTGCATACTTTACACATGTTTAGATCGGTAATTGACTGCGTGAGTAAATTGACAGTTTGATTTAAAAGTGTTGGTGTTCTTTAGACTTTGCAATTGTGCATATATGTGTTATCATGTCGCAAAAAAATCTCATGTCATATAGATAAAATGCAAAAAATATTTAAGACTGGGGTTAAAAAAAAAACAGACCAAAATGACTGATTACTTTTGTACCTAATTATTTCGCAATAAATATTTTTGTTTCTTTTTTGACTCCTTTACATATTAGAATATAAACATACCATATTATAACCCATACCTACCTATTCTAGATAGATAACTATGATAATATAACTATGTACATACATATGTACCTACTATACTTGTGTATAATATATGACATTGCTTATAACGACTATCGGATATAACGTCGGCAACTATGCGGTCCCTTCAATGTCGTTATAAACGGTTTTGACTGTACTATTAAAACGCGTGTAAATTCCCGTACAACTTATTACTTTAAGTCTTATATGGGTCATTATAAGTTAAGAGGTACTTTCCATGGCCAGGACAAAAAAATAGTTTTTTTTATACTTACTTCCTATTTAACCTATTTATTTATTTAAATGCTTTCTTCATGCTCACTTAAATTTATAACAGAAATGTACGTAGTTTAGTCACAATAAGTTATAATATATGAAAAAAGTCTCTCCCCTGGTCTGTCCCCAAACCAACTTATTTGTAAAGCAGTTATTATGAATGTATTGAAATTCAATAATTACTTTATCAACGTTAATTTTATACAGAACAATAACTTAGTCACAGTGTCTTATAAGTAAAATTACTTATATTCCAATTTTAATATCAACGCCGAAATTTGTCCTCCGTGTTTCGTGTCTCGTCCCTTGGCTTTTTGTTTTCGTTTAAAAATCAGTTTCGTTTTGCTAGTTTGTGGAAGTTGTGACCTTGAGTGCATAAGATGTAACGTGAAGCTAGCAGCAAGTGGCGCATAAGCCGACTGTGCAGCCATTTTAACGGCCATTTCAGTCACGCCGTTTGGGTGTAGAAGTGTTAAGTGAATGCATTCTTTCCTCTGGTTACTTTTATTTAGCAATTTTTTTTTTAAATACTAATATAGACTTAAATGTTCACTATGAAGGCCCATTTACACGACGCCATTTTCAGAACAATAATTGAATGCAATAAATGAAGCGCAATAATTGACGTTCAAGAATTGTATGCTACTGTTTACACTAAAAACTTGAATACAAAATATTGCATTCAAGTAATTTTATATAAAAAGATAGTTTCTGTTTTTTGTTTTCAGTACTTCTATTCTAGACGCGGATAGTGTAACATCTTTGGCTCTTTATAAACATAAATTATTGTTTTTTAAAATAGACCCTCACCACCAGAGCTCAGTCTTTTTAAAAGATAAGAACCATCAAACAGAGAGGTATGAATATGAGTAAAAAGATGTTTAAATTCAGTTCTGCTGATATAATAAAGTTCATTGAGATTTATCGCAGTCATGACTGTTTATGGGATACCGAAATTGTAAATTATAAGAACCGCGATGCACGTATATAGAAGAACCAGTTTTATCTAACAAAAAAAATTGGGTTCTGTTCACACGAAACATCTCCTTAAAGTCATCTTCATTTTTTGTTTGTAACTCTAAACTAAGATTGTTAGATACTCCGAGAACCTCTCTTCTTGCTATCCATTTTTTGATCTAACACCTTTTTTACGAGGTTTATCTCAATATATTTTATTCTCTAAGAGCAGCAACGATCAACATACCCTCACTCACTGCACTCATGTTTGCAAATGAAGAGATAATTGCGTACAAGAATTGCGTAAGAAATTATTGTACGTGCTGTTTACATCAAAAATAGTTTTGAAAGGAAACTTTTCCCATTGATCAAGAATGTTACGTTTTGTTTAGACCATGCAGCTCATTTATTGCGTCGATATAATTATATGCTACAGGCAAGAAACTTGCCTCGTGTAAATGGCGCTTGAATAGTGCATACATTGTTACGTTTGATTGTGAATTGCGTACGAGAAACACTTTTACAGCTATTTTAGACATCAATCGAAAATGTATCTCCCCTGGGCGTATTTCCCCTGGCTCTTTTGATATAAAATATATAAGAGATAAAACCAACAAATTGACTGGCCACTTTGTAAACGTTTTCAATTTAAAAGTTTCCATAAAAAATATGTATACTTAAGTAAAAATATAAAAAAAAAATGTCATTCCATCACTTCGTACAACATATTACTTATTAGCTCTTAACTTATAATGACCCATATACTGAAAATAAAAGTGCAAAAGTACCTGCAGTTTAAGTTTATGGAACTCAATGGGTATGATGTACATGATGGGCAGTTCGGTAACCAACACTTTGGGGTTAGAGCGACGAAGGCAGCCATCTTCCACATCCCAGCGTGCCCCCTCTAAGTATAGACCACGTACATAGCAGCCCTAAAATACATTTCAACGATTACTCATTTATTGTTTTGGACGGTTCTAAGTATGTAATGTATGTAAGCAAACAGCTTTAAATCGCATTCCGGCATCTCCCAATTGTTTCAAATTGGGCCAGGGTTGTAAGTAGATAATATGACTTACCGTGACGGGTCGCTCTTCGATGTCATCGGGTGAAATATACTTAGTGACACGCGTAAACTGCGTAGAGCGATCCAGTGGCCAAGTGTAGAGGCGACACGCCATCTGCACTTGCGCGATCAGATATGACTCGGGGATGTGCAGCCCGGAGAGCCAGATTACCACAGGCTCCTCCATTGTTGCCTATTATAACAAATGCACATCTTGTACATTGGAATTAGAAAAGAAACGAAATTTGGTAAAAATATTTTACATTCAATTTTGTAATAGTTTAAGATGTCAAACAAATAGTACAAAAACAAGATACGAATTTAGATAATAATTAAAATGTATTGATTTTTCTAGTTCATGTGTAATGAATAATAATGTGTTTTGTAACAAAACATGAATCACAAAACCTTACCCAGTCCGTATACTGCTTCGTCCGGGACATAAAGTGGTCTATCCAACCGCCGAGACCCTTACACGTGGCAGGAGCTAGGTTGCGCCACACGTTGGGAAGTTGGCCGTTGAACAGACTGTATGACACGTTGTCCAGAACAGCATCCATACCAATCTCTCCAGCTAAAGCTTTGCGTAGGAGCGATAGAGTGCCACGCATTTTACTTATTAGACGGTTAAATCTGAAACCGATCAAGAAAAAAATGTCTTCACGGTTAGAAAGTCTTTAAGTCTCTGTGTTCAGTAATATGTGTTAGTGATCAGATTCTCTCACCTCTCTAGTTCCTGTAAGAGGACGACGGCCGAAGGGGTGATACTCATCTCGAACTGTTTCCTCACTCGCCATATCTCGTACTCGGGCGGCAGTTTATTTAAAATGTCGACCGCTATCATGTCAATAAAGTCTTCGCGACTCATTGTTCCACCACCCTCACCTGTTAATTTCAATATAGGTTCATAGAAATACACTGTAGTGGGTTTGTTGTCGTGAATGCTCAAGCCAACAAATATTCCTATCAAGTGAATATAATTTAGTATTTGAGACTTACCATTTTCCAAAGTAGCTTTAAGAGTGAAAACTTTAAAATTAGACATACATTTTATGATTGTAACAAAAAAAGACAGTTAATGTTTAATTAATAAAGGTAGTATGTTTTTCTTTTTACCTTTTAATTTCCTTACTGCGTTGCACACATTGACAGCATTAAAATAAATATATATATTTATAAATGATATTTGTATTGTTGTTCAATTCATATACTTAATTATTAAATTAAAGGTGAATTATGCTTACTCGTTTGGGGTTGTAATTCAATGAGGTGTCCCCACATTTCTCGCACGGCCTGGCTGAAGTAACCAATCTCAGCATTCGGATGAAGACCGAACACTTCTGGTGTGTTGGCCAGGGGGAGTGTGTCAATGAAATCTGTAATGCATTTCGTTATTGGGCTTTTGATAGTTTAAAATAAATTAATATAGAGTCAGACTAGACTTGGGTTAGCATTGAAATCGAAGTTGTGATTCGACCACTGTAGAGTATGATTTGGAAAAATATAGCGTGCAGATAATAGTATAATCAAATAACCGATATACTCCTCTCGCTCGCCTTCTGGTGGAATCACGTAGTCATAATGAGCATCGCGATAGAAGTGGAAGGGTTGGAACTTATCGAAGAGAAATTCTCCCATGTACTCCTCCATGTAAGTTCCTACCACACGACGATCAAAGTCGTCTATCACACGGCCGCCGTACATCACCTACAATAGTCAGACATTTATGTAAACAAGAATATTAAAATAAAAAAGACCTTATCCATAGCGTTTTATCTCAAGAGCCTCATTTGGCATAAGTTCCTACTTACCTAAATATTAGTGACCGAGAAACAGTACAATTCCCTTGTAAAGGAACTGCATATTCTGCTGCATATAATTTAATAATGTAACTTACTTCCCCAAAAAGGTACTTGAGCGTAGCCCAGGGTATCGGCCCACTGGCTGCAAAGCATCGCTCTAAATAGCATTGCAGTATCTGCATGCTCACCACAAAGTCCGATTCGCTAAAGTCATACGATATATTCCATCCAATTTTATCATATTTCCGCCGTTCCTAAAAAGTAGCATATTGTATTTTTTAAATATTTTAGATTTTCTATAGCTTATCTAGATTTGGTAGTTAACGATAATATTGTGGAGCAACGATTTTGTGCTCTTCCTCCGACCTAAACCTTCCCCTAATTATTTCGGTAGAAAAGATTTCGAGTAACAGAGCTATCCGTTACTGATTTTGATATCTCTCAGAGGATTTACTGGGTTGCCAATGTTAGCCGAATGAAGTGTTTTCTTAACTGACCTGTACGACAGCGTGGAAAAAGGCGAGTACGTAGACCAGCTTCTTGAATTGTGGATGTGGACATTCCTCGAGCGCATGCGGACGCATCTTGAAGTATGTGTTTCGAAGATTAAGTTTTAATCCGTTTGGAGGTTCCGTTACCACTAGAACAATCAAGTTTACTCGTTACGTTTTTCTTGGTTCTTATCATTTATGAATCAGCCAGTAGTGCTAACTTTATTGATTTGTTTGACGGTACATTGTTACGGAAGCACATACCTACACTCACAAATCACCAGTTTCTAAAACTGTCAAAAATAAACAAGCCAAATGCTCTTCTTCAAAGTTTTGGATTTTGACTTAAGATTGAACAGACTTATTCTTACCTTTTAAAGACCTTTGTAAAATTCCAATCGGGAATGTAGGCGTAGGATCCGTGGTCAACCAAAGCCGGTACTCCGGATGGGGCTTCTCCATCATCTCCAGTTGCTTTTCCAACTCCCGGAGGAAAGACACAAGGAGATGGCAGTTTTGTAGAATTAGCCATTGACCATGGGATATAGCCCCCTCCAAGAGAGCCAGCGCAGCCTTTTAACATTTAATTAAAATGCTTCAAAATGAATTTTAATAAATCGTAGTAGTTTATTAAAAGTTTGGCTGCTCTATTACTTGATTTAAATCGTTTAAGTCGTAAAAAAATACATAGAAATGTTCAAAATATACAAAATATAACTCACTCCTTCTTGTCCCTGTCCAAGTGAGAGATATTTAAACTTTCCTCCGCCAAAGCCACAACGGTCAGCCAGCTTCATCAGGTCAGCAGTGGGGTCTGAGCCGGGACTCAAAATGAAAACCACCGGAGTGAAGGGCGTTGTTTGTTCGAATATACCATCTAAGCTGAAAAGGCACGAAGAGTTATTTAATTTAAAGGATCAGACTGCAAGGAATACTTCTCGCATTATACCTTATAACCGGCGGAGTGATATATTCCTCGCCCATGGTGACAGTGATGAAGTCGGTGAGGGCACGATAAATACGGTCGACTCGAAAACATCTCAGCAACATCAGCATCTCAAAGGGATTTAAGTTTTCTCGATACGAATTTGGTATCTCGGCAGACTCCGGCGCGTCACTATCAAACCACTGAAATCGAGCTTAGAGGCATCATTTTTATAGTAGCTTAGTTGTGTTTTCAAAAATATATTTCTATATATAGTAAATAAATAACAATCATCTTAATTTGAAGGTTGTATGTAGGTAACAGGTGCAAGTACCTCTTGCCAAGATTCAAGGTCTCTGCTAATGTGATCAGGTAGCTCACCAAACGTTTCGGGAAAATCTAAGCTCAATTTTATTATATCTTGCCAACCCTGAAAATTAAAAAAATATTTAAACATTTTGTGTTGATCTCATTGTTATATCAAAGACGTAGGTATATATTATGTTTGTTTTTTAACCTTTTTACTAACCGAATAAAGCAAATTATTGAAATACCTGCGCAGGAATCCAGGTAGCTGGACATGCCCTAGCGGCCTTTTCGAGTGAAACATTCCCTTTTATGAAAAAGTCAAGTTCCATTTGACTCACTTTTCCCTCGCTTTGTTCCAGTTTGATATCCATTTGGAATGAAAATAACAATTTGTGGCGTTCAAATATTCCTGCAAATTTAAATGAATTTTCCCAAAATGAGCGTCTAATAGTTTTTGATCAAGGTTTTTTTTGTTATTACTCAAAGAGAAGACCTTCATAACCAGAAGCAGCGAGAACTAATGAAACTAAATAAGATGTTTTGCCTTACCCGTGCATCCGTAGTCATAAACGTTTTTAGTCAGCATATCAATAATATTTCTAAGACGCCTAATTAAAACTACGTTCGGCATTGCCTTTCTCAGCGAGAAGGAGAATACCTGAAACAGCAAATACGTATTTCATTCGTGTGCTAAGCGCGGTTTACTTCAACAAAATTTTGATTCCTACTTACGTCGAGATATGATGACAGCGAGTACTGGTACATAGTGTTAACTCCGGCCATATCGGAGAGAACAAAGAACAGAATAGAGCCTCGCTTAGCCACCGGCCGGTAGCCATCTCTCAGTTTCTCTATATCTTTTGTCGTTGCCTCTGCTAGGTCTAGTTTCTCCATTACCTAATTTAAAATTCCTTCAAATTGGTAATTAGGAAGTCATTATTAATTAAATTCAAATTTTAATACGCTGTACGTCCACGGTAATTCAAATTAATAATTACTGACTCATAATAATTCGTAAACTAACACTCGCAACCTCTAAAGATTAAAATAGGCTTGCCTCGGCAGCTTTTGACTTCGTATTTTCCAATGTGTTGACCAACTCTACATTATCCAGCATGTTGCCTGTAGAAGTAGCAAGTTCTCGGAGAAGTGAGTCTTCTAGACCCGACAGAAGACTTTTATTAGCACTCGTTTCTATGATGAGACTCTCCCTTTGCTCTTCTAGATCGGATCGTTCCGCTCGTACCACTACACTGAGTAATTGGTCTTCGAGTCCCTAAGAAAATCTATATTAAATACAAAATTTAATTCCATTAATGATAAAGCTACAATTAAATTTAAATAAATGTTACCTGAACAGTGACCGTGTAATTGATGACCACAGCCTTGGCGTACGCGGCGGGATTGAACTGTGGGTTGGCAAGTTTTGTAGTGAGGTACATGCGGAAGTGCGGGTCGTAATCCACTTCAGAGCTGCCCAAAATCACAAATGTACGACCGCTTTCAACTGAAATCATATATTATTTATATATCTGCTGCATATTTCGATATTAGTTCTTTTTGTTCAGGAACACAGTACATTTCGTATTACTTTTTATAGTACCTAAGTAATATACCTACTTATGTAGTATTTGTTTAATTGTAATGAATAACCCCCAAACCAAAAAAATATTGAACCGAACAAAAGTTCCTTTCATTTAAAGAGATTTCTTTTCTATTTACTTAAAAATTATAAATCCTTCAAAAATCGCAAATAAAGATGTCCAAAAATCCTGTGAATCTTCATGAAACTCTAAACGATGATGGGTTGTTCTTCCTTCATATGTTTTAAAAGTTGTCGTTCTCAAGATGATGCTCTTCCAAATTATAAGTTTTTACGCAACAATATGTTACACCAACCTTTAATATTTTTTTCGAGCACATTATCCACGACGGGGTCTATGTACTCGTTGACATCTTGAAAGAGCACAGGCATCCCGTACTTTATAGCCATCTCCAAGTGGCGTAAGAATTGCGGATCATTAAATGATAAAACCTAGGGAATGTTACAAATTAAGTAAACTATGTAAGAATTAAAAAAATTGGGTCACTAAAGGCATTTAAACTGTATAAAGTGCCCCGAACAACTTTAAGAATTTTGTTCTGCAATATAGTTTATTTCTTCTATTCTACTATGTTATTTATTATGGAGAGCAATATGGCTCACTCGCATTTGTGACCGATATGATCCTAGGCCATATTCCCCTACCACGGTTAAATTGTCAAAGTTTAAAAAAAAACGTTTATTTTAATTTTGTTGGATACTTATATATAGACCTTAAATTTTTAATAGTTGAGTACTATTAGTACAGTTAAATGTGGTGTGCCATATTACCCGACGTTACATACTTTTAAGTTATTTTTAGCTTCTTTCTTTTTTATCCACGTAAGAGCTTGAGTTTGGGGATCAATACACAAAGGAAACCGAGAGGCTCTCGTAGTCAGTATACCGTTCTGCACCGACAGTTCATCGGGAGGCAATCCTTCAGAGTTCCATCTAAAACAACTCATATTTTATTCTGGCAAAGGACATTTTGACTTGAAAATTAATAACAATTTTTTTACCAACCCGCTTATTTCCACTTCGTTAGTTAAATTTCTTTCGACCGTGAACGGCATAGTGAGTGGTATTCCTCTTTCTATGACGTCTCCAAGCCAATCCTCGTATATCATAGTCTGTCTAAACGAAAATGAAAACGGACCTGCGTAGCTTAAAAACGACGCTGCGAGTAAACAATTACCGATTAATCTAGATTGTTCTACATACAACGCCGCCAAGTCTTCCGTCCACCGCTTTTGCTCACTGGATAAGCCAGACATTAACTTGTCAGCGGCGATTAAACGTCGCATCATAATGTCGGTTTCTTCCTGTAACTCTTGTCTTCTGAGCATCGCAGTATCATAGCGATTGTTCAATCCGTTCAAAGTACGTTGAAGTCTATCAATTTCGCGGTTGAGTGAAGCGAGGTAGTTACACGCCTCTGTGTATTCTTTTTCTAGTGATTCTACTTTATCCTTCTTGGGTTTAACTTCTTTGTATACGGCGCAGTATCCAAGGACGGCTATAACGAATTTTAGAAGACCATATCTGTGAATAGTATTTAAAGATAATTATTTAATAATAACTGTCATCTTAAAATACTATGCGTCACTTACCCAGCCTTACTGATCTGTTGCATAGTCTCTAATTTCTTGCTCTTTTTCATATGTGCCTTAACTGCTTTGACTTGATTCTGTGTGATCAAGTCGCAGTTCATTTCTTGTAAATTTCTCAAAAAGTTAGGATCTGCCATCATTCCCTTAGCTCCTTTCCAGCTGACGTCTTTTATACCCCTTATAATAACCACACATTCACATACAACCTAGGAATAACAATAAGACTTTAATTAAACGAATGAGCTTTTAGGATTAAGACGACATAGTGAATGAACTATACTATATTCAGACCTGCACAGCTTCTGGGGGTGTAGCGAAGGATCTAATTTCAGTAATATCATTTTTGTCTAAGTCAGCCAGAGCAAGTCTTGCCGCTTCTAAAGCAGGCAATGCAGCGGAAAGCGCTTCCTCAGCTTCAGATTTTTCTTCCACGATTACCTTACTTTGTACAGTTATTTCGGCACTCTTTATTTCGGCAACTTGCTGTTTAGCTACAGCTGCTTCGGTTGCTGTGAAATATTTATTTGTGAGTGTGCGAAGTAATTATCATATTCTGAACGAAACGAAACAGTTTACAAGTTATGATAGTGATGTGCAATGTGTTTACGAACCCACAGAAATTTCCTTCAGCAAAATTTCACACTCCTTTGTCTGCTCAGCGACAATTACTTTCTGGACTGCCAACTTTGCATTTAAATCTTCTAACTGAACATTTGCTTCTTCAATTTTTGCCAAACCACCGATCAAACGCTCGCACTAAATTTGATATAGATATTATTTTTAATTCGTTATTTTATAATGCTTATATACGCGATCGTCAAAAGATACTACCTGAGCCACAATAAATGCGTCTTTCTCGTTCAATAGCGAGAGGTAATTGGTGAGGAAGTCCATGTAGTGTTTAGGAGTGACGTAGTTATTCCTCCGCAGACGCAACAAGAACTCCACCGAGTATCGCGCGACGGACATGTGAACATGGACCACATGTTCTACTATAATTGGTCGAAATTCTTCAGGTATTTTTTCAACCTAAGGTGCAATAATGATTTTAACTTCAGTTTTACGACAAACCTTAGATTTTTAGCGCCTTTTTAAATTAGTACGGAAGTGAAATTACATCACCATAATAGATAATATAATATGATAGAAGATATTAAATGAAAGGCTTCTTATATTTAATTATCAACTGAAGGAATTAAGAACAGGTAAAGGTTTACGTACATCGGCAAGGAAAACATTGGCTACGGCCAGCAAGGCTTGCTTAGGCCACGGGAATTGCCAATCTATGGTGGTGTTGTTGACCAGCCCGGGAAAACTTCGACATCTACAATATATGTTATATCAAACGTTTTCGATTTTCTACTGTAACAATGTAACCATTTTATACAATACGTACCGATTCCTTAAAATGTCACCACTGGGTGACATAGATAGGACCACGTGCAGATTGTTAGCGCATTTATTGCAAAAGAAATTCCATACAGCATCTCTTAAAAAAATATTATTATAATAAGGTATCTGTTACTAACCTTAAGAAAATAATAAGTCGTTAAAATTTAATTAATCCTTTGAAGTAAACTACGGCTATAAATATGATTATTATTAGTATGTTTTTGTATTGCTGGTTCTACAGTTTTAATATTAATTTTACACATTATGAGGGTTTTCATAGATAAGGGCATATAACCAACTTAGCAACTCCATAGCCAGCTTCACTGCTCTCATTTCTAACGGCATTGATAATTGCATCCTTCTCATCGTCACCAAACAGTGCAGGAATCATTCCAATCATGAGGATGTTGTTAATGAACTCTAAGAACCCCTCTTCTAATATCTGTAGATAAAACGTTATTCAGAACTATTATGAGAATAACTTTTCGCCTTACACTTTTTAATAGCAATAGGCGTGCATTCTAGTAATTGGACCTGTATAATTACTACGATTTATACTAAGAGCAATACAAAAAATACTATTATTTTGCCATTTCTTCAATAATAGTACAATGTTAATAAATGCACGCGTATTGCTATTAAAAAGTGTAAGGCGAAAAGTTATTCTGTATGTACACTACAACTATGTTGGTTGTGAATTTGGAAAATGAGAGGTCCGCACTTGTGCAGCTGTAAAAAGAAAAACTGTAGGTTTTCCATCGACTCCTAATTGATTATACATTCTCTTCATGTCGTCTTTGAAAGTATTTTCGTTGTAATTCCGGGTGACCGTGATTTCAAATACTTCACAACCTTAAACAAACACAATTTTATTTTCAGATAATTAATCTGCTTTTTAATTGTACCTTATACTTGAATCTCAAAGTGTCTATGAAAATAAAAAAAAGCCCACCAGCAGCAAAAGCGGCAAGTCTGCAAATGGATTTTTTGCCGGAACCTCCGACTCCAATGATCATGGCGTTTCCGCGATCCATGCGCAGAATCCGGTGGGTGCGCGTCAAGTGTTCAAGGCAATCTTCGAAAAGTACGACAGACATTTTACTAATACGCTCGTTGTACTCATCCAGTATCTATAATGTTAATTTAATAGGTTTAATCGTATCGGTTACGATATCGTAAATACTTCAAAAGGCCTAAAGAGGCAGAAATTTAATTGTACGAAATCGGTAAAACGGTACCTCTTGAAAGAGGAAATACACAGCTTCATAATCTAAGAGGTCTTCGTAATATCTTATCTCTTCTTCGTCTAATGCATTGCGATAATCCCCGAACAGCAACGGATCGCGGAGAACGTACTCCTCTAGCTGTTAAAATAAGAAATGGGAGCCACTGTTACCTATATGTGTAAAGACAAAAGCTGAATCTAAATTATAAGTATTAATTTTGAGTGTATATAAATGAATAAATATGTGCATCAGAAGCCGAATCCATTATCTTAGTTTGAATTGACTTGAATGAAGGTTGAATTGAAAAACATTTAATAAATGAGAGTTATCCACGTTAATCATCAGTATATATGTCGTGGGCTTATCGTTAGATTGGCCAGATCGAGATATGCCCGGGCACTTCTTGAAACGCCGGCACATCATGATTCGGCCGGGCATATCGCGATGCGCCAAGTAAAAGGTTGGGCAGATCGACGAGAATAACGTATTTGTCGATATTCCGCTGTCTTCGCGCGCTCGGCTTTGTTTACGCGAGCGGAAGATGGCGGCGTTACAAACAAGTGAATGTGGTGTTGATATTATCAAAATGAACAGTAAAACGAAAACGTAAAACGAAACAAAAAGTACATTTAAAGAACAATATTACCATCAGTTACTTGATTTCTATGAGGGACATAAAGATTCTTCGCACAATGTAAAAAACCATGGACTTCTCAACGTATTTTAGAGGTTAGTATTTAGTTGATAAACAAGTGTTTATTTTTGCATAATAATGTGTAGGTGATGCGTTTCTCTCATGTCATTATGTATTAAAATTCTTAGATTGATTAAGTAACTAATGTTTGTACGCTAAAGTTCCATTTTATTTTTTAGGTTATTGAACAAATAAAAAGAAGTAGGGTGACCATGCAGCGGGTCTCTTCGGACTATTATTGGAGTGCAAAATATGATGTCATGGAAACTTCTGACAAAGATTACTTAATTTTCAAAAGAAAAACTGCCGATGATCCTACAGTGCGCATAGTCGCCGTAGATGAATATTTTGATATATTAACAGAAGTTCACAAAGCTGTTGGGCATGGTGGCAGAGAAAAAATGATATATAGTATTAAAAACAAATTTCACATACCGAAAAAAGCTATAGAAATATACATTAAATTGTGTGCAGTGTGTGAAATGAAACGTTCCATGCCAAAAAAAGGTATAGTGACAAAACCAATTATATCACCAGATTTCAACTCACGAGGTCAGGTAGACCTTATTGATTTACAATCAGCTCCGGACGGGGAATACAAGTGGTTAATGAATTATCAGGACCATGCTACCAAGTTTCTACACTTGAGGCCATTGAAATCTAAGAGGGCTGTGGAGGTGGCGTTTGAACTATTTAAAATATTTTTGGAGTTTGGTGCACCATTAATTTTACAATCTGATAATGGGAAAGAGTTTACAGCTCATGTCATTGAAGAACTTGTGCAGTTGTGGCCAGAATGCAAGATCGTTCATGGAGGCCCTAGACGTCCTCAAACGCAAGGAAGCGTCGAACGTAGCAACCAAGACGTAGAAAACATGTTGCGTTGTTGGATGAAAGATAATGATTCTGCTAATTGGTCTGTGGGTTGCTACTTCGTACAGTATTATAAAAATTCATCTTTTCATCGTATAATTGGTAGATCACCCTATCGTGCCTTGTTCGGTTCTGACCCCAAAACATTACTGAAAGGTACTAATATCCCGGACAGTGTTATTTCATCTATTCAAACTGAAAAGAAGAATACTACGACAACCTCGATGGAGATAATCTTGCCTGAAGGGACAAATGTTGATGGCTTAAGTAGTAAAGCACTAACGCTTGATGTTGAGATGGTTTCGGCCGAAATAAATGTTCCTAAAGCATTAAGTGTACAGAACGTCCTAACAAGTGTAAATTCGGCAACGGCGCTTGCCAATCAAGATCTGAAAATAGAAAATATTGAAACCGCCGAACAAAAACTTGAAGCAACTAATTGTTCACCCAGAAATGATACGTCCTGTATAGAAGATTTAGCTTTGCAAACTGTTAACAGAGCTTCTACTAGCAAAGATGTTTTTGTCGTTTCAATTCAAGGGGTTTCAGCCAGTAGCGACACGTCACTAACGACTAAGAAAGCCGACTGCAATACGCAGATTTGTTTGGTTTGTACCAAAGAAACAACTGGAGCTCATAGTTGTAGATCGTGCTTTAAACCAGTTCACGTTATATGTGGTCTCACTGACGGTGAAGAAGGTTACGGGTCTCAGATTTTATGTTTCATATGCAAAAGAGAACAAGACATTGCAAAAGAAAGAGCACAAACTCTTAAAGGTACCAAACGGGCTGCAGAAAAAATGATTGACCAAACAGTCAAAAAGCTTCCGTTATTAGAAGTTGGTAATAGCGTCTTGATAAATGTTCCAAAATTTGATCGTGGACCACTTGATACCAAGAACATCGCAGGTAAAATTGTTGACATTAGGAATGGTGTATTTAAAATTGGTACTACTTCTGGAACAATAAAAAACTGGTTCCCGAGACAAGAATTACAAATTTCAGCCAAAGATTATAATGGAGACATTTCTGAATCATTTATAACATTGCGTCATGCAGTCACATGTCAGTCCATGTTTGGAGGTCAAGGTTTCCAGAAATGCTCCTGCAGGCCTGCCAGAAATCAATGTCACACCAAAAGGTGTGCATGTTATAAGAATAATGTTCTCTGCACTTCAAAATGTCATCAAAGTATATCATGCATCAACAAATGATAGATATCTCAAAAAATATTTGACTTTCCTTTAATATTCAATACAAAGTTTATTTTCAACTGATTAAGTCTGTTGTTAGTCTGATTGAGGAACACTTTTTAAGTAGGTAGTCTAGTCGACAAGTTGAAAATGGAACAAAATAGAGATACTGCTCTTAAAATTATGTGCGATAGCTCATTCGAACCGGAATGACGCCTAGAAAAATGTGCTAAAAGCGTGTATTAGCACATAAAAAATTGCAAAAGTTATAGACCATTAAAGATGAAAAAAAATGGAATTTAGTTTTTGCCAATATTTAATAAACTATTAATATTTAAGAAATTTCAAATAAAGATTCTGAAAGAGGAGGAAATTTCCAATAAAAAACTCTCAGCTCCCGGAACTCTATCTCCATTATTTATAACTTTAATTTAACGCTGAAAATAGGTCTGTGCGTGACATTTTTAGGATTCGCGCGTGGCGTCAAAAGCGACTACGGCACATTAATTAATTTATTTAAGGTATTGAATATTTTTTTTAAATTTGAAAAAAATTATGGTGTGTTCTGAACACTATAATTAATTTATTCCCGTTGGAAATTTTACTTAAAGTTAATTTTTCAACAAGTTAAATAATTGTTAACTAACGAAATTTTCTCGAACGACCGTCTTAATTGTAAGTGAAAAAAATGTTTTAATAATGGTCGTAAAAATATTTCGCTTCGTAGAGCCTTTCTTACATACATACTTAACAAGATCGTGCCATAAAAGTTAAAGAAATATTTATACTTTGTTTATAACAATTTTTTACTTAAACAAAAACTTAAAAATCCAAGTAATGTTGTTAAAAATTTTTTTTTTTCTAAATCATCAAATTATCGTTTTTATATTAATACAAGATATTTATTGATTTGCAAAAAAAAAATTTCCCGCCATTTGTTAATAATTTTTTTTAAACAAATTGATTAAATCAATTGTTTTAAAAAAAAATTCTACAACTTTATTACATTACAAATATTATGATTGTTTAAAAAAAAATTTCCTTAATAACATATTTTAATTGTTTATAATCGTTTTTTTATATTTCTTTTGTTTAAATAATTAGTTAAGAAATTTTTTTTTTTTAAAAATCATAATTCACAATCCTCTATAAAGTAACAGAAAAAATTTTTTTTTAATCAACAATTCTATTGTTTATTAACTTACCAATTTGTTATAAACAAATGTTCAACTTTTTATATTTTTTTCTAAAACTTCTAAAATTAACAAAAACAAACATATATAACAAAGTCTATATAAAAAAAAAAAAAATTTTTTTAATAAAAGTAATATTCATGATAATCAAAAAATTTAAAAAAATGTTTTTCTATATTTTGTTATATATGGTTGTTTTTGTTAATTTTAGAAGTTTTAGAAAAAAAATATAAAAAGTTGAACATTTGTTTATAACAAATTGGTAAGTTAATAAACAATAGAATTGTTGATTAAAAAAAATTTTTTTCTGTTACTTTATAGAGGATTGTGAATTATGATTTTTAAAAAAAAAAATTTCTTAAATAATTATTTAAACAAAAGAAATATAAAAAAACGATTATAAACAATTAAAATATGTTATTAAGGAAATTTTTTTTTAAACAATCATAATATTTGTAATGTAATAAAGTTAGAAATTTTTTTTTTAAAACAATTGATTTAATCAATTTGTTTAAAAAAAATTATTAACAATGGCGGGAAATTTTTTTTGCAAATCAATAAATATCTTGTATTAATATAAAAACGATAATTTGATGATTTAGAAAAAAAAAATTTTTAACAACATTACTTGGATTTTTAAGTTTTTGTTTAAGTAAAAAAATTGTTATAAACAAAGTATAAATATTTCTTTAACTTTTATGGCACGATCTTGTTAAGTATGTATGTAAGAAAGGCTCTACGAAGCGAAATATTTTTACGACCATTATTAAAACATTTTTTTCACTTACAATTAAGACGGTCGTTCGAGAAAATTTCGTTAGTTAACAATTATTTAACTTGTTGAAAAATTAACTTTAAGTAAAATTTCCAACGGGAATAAATTAATTATAGTGTTCAGAACACACCATAATTTTTTCAAATTTAAAAAAAAATATTCAATACCTTAAATAAATTAATTAATGTGCCGTAGTCGCTTTTGACGCCACGCGCGAATCCTAAAAATGTCACGCACAGACCTATTTTCAGCGTTAAATTAAAGTTATAAATAATGGAGATAGAGTTCCGGGAGCTGAGAGTTTTTTATTGGAAATTTCCTCCTCTTTCAGAATCTTTATTTGAAATTTCTTAAATATTAATAGTTTATTAAATATTGGCAAAAACTAAATTCCATTTTTTTTCATCTTTAATGGTCTATAACTTTTGCAATTTTTTATGTGCTAATACACGCTTTTAGCACATTTTTCTAGGCGTCATTCCGGTTCGAATGAGCTATCGCACATAATTTTAAGAGCAGTATCTCTATTTTGTTCCATTTTCAACTTGTCGACTAGACTAAGGTACCTATTTAATGTTTATAAACATTTTTTAATTTAATTTCTCTTTCTGCATGGCGGTTGTCGGGTTGTATTACCTATTTCTAAAGCTATTTTTTAGGTATTTAAATGTTACGAACGTTTGGTTTGTTATCTTATTTTATTACCAAAGGGCTGTGATTGAATGTGCCATTTTTAGAATTTTTTGACGATGTTATTAATGTTTGTCATATTTAATAACAAATAATAGGTAACTATTCTTTGAAAAACTATTTGACGTTCCTATTAATATAAGTTTGTTTTCAACTGATTAATGAGTCTGATTATTTAGTTACACTTTATTATTTAAATAACTCATTTTTAATGTTATTCATTATTTTTTAACATTTTCATTTAATTCTAGCTGTTGCTCGTACGTGCCGTTTTCTACGTGATGGCTGTGTTAACATTTTATTAAACCTTACTGTTTATATACATATTTTATTTGCCTCAAATAGGCGTTTTGTTATTTTCTCTCCAAAGAACTGTGATTCTATGTGCCACATTTGGAATTTTAAAAAATAATGTTAAGTTAGAGCTTCATAACAATAATTATTTTCAATTTTAATAAACATTTTAATTCTTAACTTTATTTTTATTTGCTAAAACCTTGGACACCCTACATAATCGATATGCCTAAAGTATCTCTGGCCAAATCGCCAAACGTTAAGTGTTGAACGATATGCCCTGTGTTGGATGGCCAGATCATGATGTGCCGGAGTATCACGTTCTGCCTGGGCATATCTCGATCTGGCCAATCTAACGATAAGCCCACGACATATATACTGTTGATCTTCCTTAAAGTAATACATACAGTAAGTGGTTTTTCGACTTCCACCTCTTCCTCCTCTTCGACTACAAGCTCTGCTTCAGGTACAGCCGCTGTTTTCTCTGGTTTTGGAATTGGGTCGCCAAACTCTACAAATTATATAATTGTAAGCAACAACTGCATATTCCCGATTCTTTCAAATTTCATTTCATAATTTCAATCAATAAGTTATCAGAGCATCCCAGCATTTTCTTTCTTGGTAGATACGACCTTCAAACTTAAAAAAAGGGCAAATTCGTCTTTTAAAGGCCGGCAACAAGTGTCCATGGGCTGCTAGAGTCACCTTTTATGGTTGTTCCGAAGGCTCGATCTTGAAAAAAGTTTGTATTTCAGAAATGGAAATAATATTTGATTAGTTGTTGTTAATTATATCACCGTCTTCTTCTTCAAGTACGGGTTCCTCTTCGGGCACCACGATCTCCTCGAGAACGACGGGCTCGTCCTCCGGGAAGTACTTGGCTATTTGTTCTTGTATATGGTTTTGCATTAACTCGTTGTCCTGAAAACGTTCTTCTGTAAGTACTGTTTCTGTTGATGTACTCACGAGATTTTGCGCTGACATTTGGTGATAAAATATCTCACGTGTGTGTTGATGAGTCGATCACATATGACGCGAGTGAACTCGTTCCGCCAGCACCTGACGACGGTCCGCTTCTCGCAAAAGAAGTTGGGATGAGTGAGGAGCATCCCGGCTGCGATTCGGGACAAGTCGCGAAGATTGAATATGTAGTGGAACTTGGCCGGAGTCGGAGGAAGGTCCACGATAATTATCTGTAACAGACTTCATTTAGTTTACCTGTTTTAAAGTCATTTCACTTTCACTGACATCCGTTTTATTAGCTTTTTCAAAGCATTTAGGTACTTAGTTTCTTGGAATCCTAAATTTAGAACTTAATAATTATTTAGGGTTGTTGTCGTTTACTTTAGGGATGATTGCTTTAGAATTATTTGGTCGTGTTAAAATAAAACTCCCTAATTGTTTGTAGAGAAGAGGTGAAGATGGAATGATATTTTATTTTCAAAACTATGTACATTTATACCCAAAAATTATCCTACACTTGCTACTAGTATTAACATGTGGTGCCAAAATGCGGAGGTTTGCGCAGGTACAGGGCAGGCGATAAAAACGCGGCGCGGCAAAAAGTTGACCCTTTTCTGCGCGCAGCCGTCGAAGCGTACGAACGTGTTCTTTTCAGAACACTTCGATATCGTAGTCTTACAATAACCCTAATAAACTGTTCTTTACAGAACACACTATCGTATCTTACGAAAACGTTTAACAACTGTACTTGTCAAGACATATTACCGTGTCTTACGACAACGATGAGAACTGTTCTTTTCAGAACACACGACCGTATCTATAACTCTTGATCTGTTCTTGTCAGAACACATCACCGTTTCATTACGACACGTAAACTAATCACCTACAATTAGTTACTTATATATTTTTTGAAGTTATACTTCTTTAGGCGCGTTATGAAAAATTTATGAGTGAAATTTTACGATGCGCGCGCACCTGAGACACAAAGTTGTCAGTGTGATTATAGCGTGCGCGAGCGAGATGGGAATAAGACAATCTACAAGTAAAAAGAAATAGAATATGCGTGACGTAAGCAGCTATGCCAAGAATTTTGAATGACCATAATGACATTTGTAGTACCTTTTAAACAAATAAATGAGTTTTAATTATTTTTTCAAAGAAATTTAGCAATGCTTTTTCACAAAGACCTATTGTTACTTAGTTAAAAGGTTATGAAACATACGTAGTTATTAAATTGAATGAATAATATAATAAATAATAATGATTATTATTATTATTAATATTAATTAATAATTGAATAATATACTTAATATTAAATATTATTAAATTATAAACGTTAAATATTTGTTATTAATTATTTAATATTTAAAAAAAATAAAGAAAGCCAAAGAAGTATAACTTCTTACGCGCGTACATAAGTACACGCACCCTTTTTTTAATACTTGGAGTATGTATCTCCTTCCTTTAAGGAAGTGACAAATATAAATAAAGACACAACCTTATAGAGGTCCAGCGTCATCTGGACAATCTTTTCGACAATTTCTTGTACTTCATCCGGGAACGTAGAGAAGTGTCCTTGTAATATGGACACGTAGATCCGCTGAAGAGTCGTTTCTGATGGGAATTGTAAGTTGTATACGGAGAACATTGATATAAATCGAGGATCGACCTGGAATTTAACGTGTACTAATTAGGTTACAAAAACATAAACATAATAAACATACTTTTACCCCTAAGTCTGTCACATGCTATTAACTCACATCGTTTCTTCCACCTCCTGCTTTGCCCATAGCAGCGAGGAAACCGATATCCTTAAGGTTCTTCCAGTTCAAATCTTTACCTCGGTCGTAGAAGCCTTTTCTCTCAAATAATAGTTTGAGTAAGGCTATTGGCTGCTGCGTTCCGTATGTATCGACCTAATAGCAATTAATATTATTTTTAAAATGTATTATTATAGTAATACAACATTTAGATATGATCAGGACAGCTCACTATAGGCATATTCATGTCGTCAATGAAGACGAGCATCCTCTTGCCGACGGGTGGTCCAAAGGTGTCTTTGGTCCGCTTTTCGACCACGGACTCTAAATTACGTTGAACATCCATTGACGAGGTTCGCGATGAAAAATTCATTTGCTGGATTATCTGAACAAAAGGTGAATGAAAATGTCAAAAGAGTGTTTGGAGGCGCCGGGTATCGATTCCGGTACCTCTCGTATGCTTAGCGAGCGCTCTACCATCTGAGCTACGCCCCCGATGAAAATTTGATTGAAATTGAGTAATTTTTACAAAACATCAGCCTTGGTAAAGTATTATTTGATGCACTTTAACGATATCTGGATTCTATGTCGATAATATCTAACAATATACTGTTACGCATATACGCACAATAGAAGTAACTTTTAGATCTTAAGAGCAATGGACTGTTTGTTTTTAATGTATTCATTTGGCTTTTATATTTATTGTAATTTCTGAAATTGCTAAGCTTTGGCGACGCAAAGAGAATTATGGGTATATTCAATGTGAAAATAATAAAATTGAATATGGCAAGTGGAAGAATACAATATAAAAAAACTGTTTAAATGAAATTATTGGTAAATAAGTTGTATTGAAGTTACATAAACTACTCACATATTTGTCAGGTGGAAGTCCGCGGAGATAGTTTGTTATTATTGCAGTCTTTGACGTGCCCGTATCTCCTACTAGCAGGACCGGACGTTCGACCTGAAGTATTTTTCCCCACATTTATAAAACGTGATTTTCTATTAAATGTCCATGTGTTAAAGCCACAAAAAGTAAAAGATACGTCGATGCTCTACTCACACTCTCCATAATCTTGATAAGCCAAGTAAGCCGTAGCGTGTCGACGGTCGGCACAAGGATAGAAGAGAACCTCATGTCCCTGTCGTGTTCGTAGTTAGGGACGAGCCATTCCCACGCCTCCCACGACTTTGTTGTCAGCTCCAGACAGTAGTCGTAAAGAGAAGGAAAGCCCATTGGAAAATGCTCTGAAACGATTAACAAATTTAGATCCATTAAAAAAGGGAGATAATCAGGCGTAGAGAAATGGATATGAGGAAGTTTTAGTGAAACTAAACTCTTGTATTTTTACGTTTCTAAAATTAAAAAATATATTAGGTATACTGAAATGAGATCATACTTGTAGTGGCTTTCTTCTCCGGGCTGTCTTCGACAAGCATCATGGGGCACGCCTTCTTTACGTAGTTGTCAAAGTCAAACCTTCCGTTGTCAACAATAGACGCGCCAAGACTGTTGTACATTGACTAAAATATATGATATAATTTAAAGCTTCTTTATATTCATACATGATATAGTCAAATTACTTACACCTGCGAATTAGTTCATGGTGCAGAGATATATTTTGAGACAAAAAAAGATAGAAAGTTTTTTGAGACAGAAAAAGAGTCCCCACAGTATCACGTGAAATACACCAGTCAGACTAATATGAACTTATTGAATTGCATTTGGATAGGTTGATACTTAGTCAAAACTTGTTAAGCACTGCTTTCAGGAATCACTTCATGGACACACCATGAAGTGATTCCCGCTGACCCGCAATCGATGAACCATCATCGTACGAAATAGAAGGACAGACAAAACATCGGCACAAATTATTGACCGGCGCTAAGATAAAATATGCGCGTAATTAACGTCGGCCGCCATCACTACTTGGACGGATGTCGGCCAAATGATGATGGCTTTTCATATAAACATTTGTACACATTTTTGTATAAATTAGACGTAATATTATTATTTTATACAGTAAAAATCTTCACTTACAACCATAAAAACACACTCGACCACTGTTCTATCTATTTCTTCATTACTGTCTTCTCTGTTCGGCAGAAGACCGCTGATCATGTAGCAGAGTTGCACCACCTGCAACGGTCAATGGAATCAATACTTCCCTATTCCAATTTTTCTTACAACAAAGTTATAGTGGTTATAAATTCGTTGACATTTACAAACCCAGTGGTAGATATATGAATAACGAAGTATTTAAATGCATACAGTATTAATTTCTTTGAAATACAAAACATTAAAAATCCGAGTAATTTGACGTCGTATGATAAAAAGCTATAATTATTAAGAAGGAGCCGAACACAGCCAAACATGTTCTCCATTATTGAAATGGACTATTGTGATATTTGCAATGTGAACAAATATTTGAAGGGTTTTAAAATGAAATAGTTCATAGAAACCTACTAAATTGAGCGGCGTCTGCGGCACGATGGTCTTTAGCGGCGTCTGCTGCTGCAAGCCGAAAAGACCGAATACGATGTAGTTGATAGCGCCCGGCACGTAGTGCTCGAACAAACCGGCCATTTGCTCTCGCTCCTCTTCGTTATTTCTGCTTCGAAGCCATCTATTTGTGAAAATTAAATGAAGTAAGTTATTAATCTATTTTCTTTCATTTTAAAACATAAATAACCTAAACTTTTGAAAGCAATAAAGAGAAACCCCTTATTTATAGAAAAATTTAATCTCTTGATTCTTTCCGTCAAATTGCACTGATTTCGTTTTTATGAATAAGTTAATAATTGTTTTACAGACAAATGCATTTTGATTTTAAATATACTTTGAAGGTCGGACACGGTCCAATTACCTCTCCCAATATGGCTGATAGCCAAGATTCTTTGGGTCGACAAAGACCATACCCGCTCGAGACACAGTGGCGGGTGAAGCGTAGTTCAGGTCTCCCACTTCAAACAAGAGGGCGCAATACGGCGCAAGTCTGATTCTTTCGCCATTGGCCAAGGTCAGAAGCTTGTTGTCATCCATCACAGAATTCATATTTTCAATCCAGAGGGCGTCCACGTCGCCATCGAATAAAGAATATCGACGCTCATCCTTTTCGGCCGGTCTGAAATTTAGAGAATTTAGAAAAAGAGCATAAGTCAATATTGAGCATTACAGAGAAGAAAACGCTACCTGTTCATTTCCCGGAATATTTTAGAGTAAAGGCCGTCTGTCCAATCTCTCGTCACTGGATCCAAGATGCCATACAGTTCTATCACGGAACAGGCCTTGAACGACAACATTTTATCAATTCAACGTATCATTGAATTAAACAGTAGATTTTCTGTAGTTTCATTAAAATTACCTTAGGATTTACAATCTGTAGTTTTGTGGGTAATCCCAGATTGGTTTGCGCTTTCACAATACTTTGTAAAATAACAGTTTTTCCTCCACCCGTAGGACCCACCAGCATCGTACAATGTCTTGTCATCATTGTTTCGTACAATTGTACCACTTTGTCAACCTACAAATCCAGTAATATTTTAACTTTTACTTTACGTTCTTAGCATAAATTCTATTGCCAATTGGAAGCGATTCGCCTATTAAATTTATTTTCATCAATAAATATTCAAATAAGTAAGATGTTTTAGATCGATATTTATATATAATTATCTTTACCTGATGTGCAAGGACCACATAGCCGTCGGTCTCTAGCACCTCGGTGACAGCTGCATTAAAATCAGGATAGCCAACTCTCGGACACTCCAGACCAGGGAACAAATCTTTGATTAAACCAAGAAATAGTGGTACATCTTCAAATACGAATTTCGGATGATTCATGTCCCTTTAACAATAAATTTTGACTAAATAAATAAAATATGAAAAACAATGAATTCTGGGAATAAATTCGTGAATAAATCGTAAATGAACCTTAACGCTCTCATGAGAACCATGATTTCACTTAGCCCCGGCGAGTCTCGGCGTAACTTGCCAGCCATTCTTAGCACGGCCGTGAGCGCTCGTAAACCCCAATCGTAGTGGGACTGCTTTGATAACTGCTCACGGGCCACCTTGTATAGTACTGTCATCTTTTTTGCTAGAACCTAATAAGAACATTGTGTAATGGCACACCTCATTAACCAGAATGGATATTCTTGTCAAACTTTAATATTTTTCTATTAGTTAGAAAAAAAATACTACATATTGTATATACCTTAGCTGTAAGAAAACCATCGGAGAATAGTGATATTTGGCAGATCATCTCCAAGTCGGGTAGAATGCACACGACCGGCCTAAAAAGAGCCTTAACCGACTCGGGTAATTCAGTCCGACCGGCGTAACCAGGGTTCATTGTGATGAAAATACCGACTTTGCTGTCCATATCAATTTCTTGTCCTTCGAACTAAAAGTTAAATCGTTTAAAAACGTCTAATACAAGAAAACGTACGTGTATAAAAAATGTTATTGCATATAATAGGAAAAATTCTATACTTAGCAATTACTACACTAATAGAGAAAGACAAATTCACCGTAAAGCGTTTCAGCTTCATCAGCAATGCGCTTCGAATGCACTGAAGCTGCGTGGATATAACAGACAGGACAGATACGTCGATGCGGTTGAATTCGTCAAAACAACCCCACGCCCCGCATTGGCAGAGACCGGCAAGGATCTGGCCCACCGCCCTGAAGTCCATGCCTTCGCCACAGTTGGTCACCACGCATAGAAGACCAAGAGCTTTTGCCAAGTCCTTGGTGGTTTCTGTTTTTCCAGTACCAGCCGGGCCTGATTTTAAATACCATTAAAATTACTAGAACAATCCATGAAGCATGAGAACATGCTTTAAACACTAGCTGCATAAGTAGCTTACCATCCATGTACTCAAAACGTGACATTAACTTAAAGTAAGTACACGACTAAATGAGATGTTGTTATTGACATAAATACCTGCCGGTGCCCCTCCAAGTTGCATTGTCAGAGCCTGTGTGATAGTTAGATATATTCGATCTGTTAGCGGGGTTATGACCAGCCGACCATTAAGCCCCATGTATTCATAGCCATATTCGAATACACCTGCAATATTATTGTTATTAAAAGAGGAACTTTCGTTCGAAAGGAAGCCGTATTTAGATATAAAGGGTACACTTTAATCAGTCTACCTGTGCACTGTTTGATCCACAAGTTGTCATCTTTCTTGAGCCAATAAAATCGCAATTGACTTTCCCATTCGAATTCAGCAGCTTCCGTAATATTGTCTCTAACAAATCCTTCGATAATGTCTCTGGCGTGTACATCAATCGTTGTAATTGTTCGGAACTTAAGACGGTCGTTTGAGGTAAGATCTGAAGATACACGGTTTTTGTAAATTGTTGTAAGTTGAAAGACTTATGTGTGAGGACATTGCCTTCCTCTGGTCTAGGCAAGCAAGTTACCTTGTCTCACTTTAACCACCAATCCATCCAATTGTTCATTCTGTTGCTGTAAATGTTCTTTCATGGCCCTCTTGTTTCCCTTTCTTATCCGGTGGAAAGTTTCTTCGGTTTCCGCCGTCCACCAAATGCCATTCGCAGCTAAACATACCATCCCCAAATATTCTAATATCCAATCAGTTCTATAAAAAAGTAATAAGTGTGTATTTTGTGCGTTTTATAGCGAAACAAGAAAAGTAAAATGATTATTGGTTAGCTTTTTACCTTGGAACCCTCCAATTCTTGCCATAATAGAAAACAGCTTTCTTGGTAACAAATTTATTGGTATTCCTCATTTCTTTAAGAACTAGATTCATCCAATCTTCTACTCTTCCTTCAGTGTAAACCACATTTCGAAAATCCATAATCTAGAGTATCAATTTATGTAAGACTACATCCTACCTCCATAGTGAGAAAAATAACAAAATAAATAGTTTAAAGAAAAAACTGTTTAACCGGATTGAAGTTATGTATTATTATAAATTTACAACTATTTAACATAATTTTAAATTTATCCGACGTTTCGCGTGCTTTACAGCGTGCGTGGTCACGGTGACGTAAAACGACGTGACGTAGTTGTAAATTTATAATAATACATAACTTCAATCCGGATAAACAGTTTTTTCTTTAAATGTGTAGAGGTTATGTAAATCAAAGACAATACTAAATAAATAGTTATATTAATTTCCATAGTTTAATTTATCGACTTAGATCAGAATTTTTTATCTCTAAGATATTACTAACCTCCCCTTCTGCTGAAATCATTTTGGCGGCAACGGGCCGATTTGTGTGATCCACGTACAGGTCTAAAGCTCTTATATTGTCGAACATCTGTAAATATATTGCTACTTGAACTTTATAATCGTTTAAACATTTGGCCTGTTAAGTGTTAGGTACCTGTTTTTACTACCTTAATCATATGTTCCTGTACACAGCTACACTCACTACTTCCCAGAATAGACAAAAGTTCGTCGGTAGAAATAAAGAAAAACCTCGGGAAAATGCGTCGCTTTGAATCTAAATATTCGTTCAATGACTTTTGGCACCTTTAGGATCAAATATTTACGTAATCAGAATCGTGAGCAAAATTATAAATAGGTTATCAATTAATTGTGGAATACAAATCTAAAATGTCTAACATTTCTTAATCAACAGGTATTTCTTACAAGTAAACAACATAATATAATAGTTTAATCAATTTTTTTAGTGTCATAAAATATAACTATAAGTTGCGTTAACAGTTGCGGAACTTACTTTTGTAATCCTAAACCTAAGTTAACGAACTCTTCCAATCTGCCCTGCACTGTACAACAATCAACAACATTCAGCCTCTTTGCCGTATCCAACATTATCTGGAAAATAACTTTAATCTTAGTTTATAAGCCAATACGAAATATAAAGCAGATAGTAATAAACAAATCGTCTATTCTTTCAGATTTATTTTATTGAAAATTTAGAAAAAACATTATTCAAAAATATCTGCAAGATTTAAAACAACTGAGTAGCATAGGTATTTATTTAATGCTTAATCTCTACTCCATTTATTCAAATAATACTTTATAAATAGACACACACACACGATACATTTTTATAAACTTTTATAAAATTACTACCTTTCTGAAATTCTTATCAATGTCGTCAAACTTTTTGGCTTCTTCGGGCAACTGTGTCCTGATGTCACCCCCCACAAAGATCCCCTCCAGATAGAGCCATTTACGCTGAGTAGCCATCCACTCTTCTATCACTTCAGAAATTAGGGAAAGGCGGCGTTCCCACGTTTGTACAACAGACAAAAAGGGCCCAATAAACCTATAATGTTACATTTAAATATGATTCTCATGTAACCACTTAATAAATAGACAAAGTATAGTTAGGGGCTTTGGGGAATAAATTCATGTTCCAGAAAGTTCGACTTACTGTGAGGCAGCCATACTCTGCAGTGACATGGCGTCATCGTCTAGCTTAACACTGATTTCGTCGCAAGGATTCAATGTATAGCCCCGGTCCTCACCGCGGTTGAAGTGTCGCGCCACCGTAAAAGCTATGTTGGCCCATGTTTCTTGGACGTCTCGAACACCACGTTCTATTGCTAATTCCTGTAAAAAAGATGCGTTAATTTCGATTCGATTCAGTGTATTTTTAATTTCTATATATGTATTAGTGTTCTTATTGTAGAGCAGCTTCCTTTCCTACTATCCAATAAAGTAGACAAGTGTCGAATATGATCTAAGCCTTAGACAAAGAAATTCGTAAAACTGGAGTACAAATGAACGCCCTCAATAGGTTCATTTGTACAACCGTTGTACTTGATCGTTTGTTTTTTAATTTATTGTGTGTAAAGGAAAAAGGAACTTGTCACACTGGTGTGGAAAAAGGAATTTTCATTCTAATTGTATTGTAGCTTAGCGATTAAACTTTTAAAAGTTCAAAGCTTTACCACTTTGAGGTACCGACAAGGTACCATGGCTGGAAAGGAATACTAATAACTATGAAACATTCCATAAATACCTTGATAGCATGGTTGACGATTTCTTCGGCTACTTCCTGATACTTGTGTAGCTCCATGGCAAACATATTCTCCAAAGTGAACCGCTCCGGAGACATATCGAATGTCTGTCCTATTAGTTAAAAACGTTAAGTCGGTATCAATCCAAAATAATTTTCCTTAATGTAAAAACGTGTTAAAACCCATCAGTAAATAATAGCCCACCAGTCTTGGCCATCAGCTCTTTCCAGTGTCGTTCTCTCATAGCCTCGTTCTTAAGTGAAACCATAAGAGGTACAACCCCCTTAAACTGTTTCATCTTCAAGTCCAACATTAAACCAGTGGTTGTGAGACGTACAGCCTTTGGCAATTTTCTGTTTAAATTAATAAAAGTTAAGTTACGCGACAATATAGAGGGAAAGGTTAAGTCAAATCAAACTTTAGAAAAGGTATAGCAAGTGTGGCCCTACCTATACTCTTTGAAGAACTGTTCAATTCCATCGACCAGAGCCTGGGGATTGAGGTTAACCCACAACGTCTTGGCCCACAGCTCCCGTGCATTCTTCTGTGCTTTATAAATCTTGTACACTTGTTCCATTGCTTGGAAATCAGATTTTGCTCGATTGTAATTTGAAAAGTCAGCAAGCGGATTGTCGAACAATTGTTCCGCGGCTTGAAGTAATTTTTTACGCGACTCTAGTTCATCAAAGTATTTAGTATATTCCTGTAAATAAGTTAAACAGATGTATTTAACAAATTATACCCAAAGAGATTAAATGAATTATTTGGTATCTTATAATTAACCAGAATAATTTATCGACCTGATCGTCCACACGTTAATAATTTATGAACGTTACATGTTCTTAATCTTTTAGTTAAAGTACCTCCATTAAAATTAGTCCACGATCCAAGTCGTCCCCTACAGTGGCGGGGCCTTCATTATCGAACTTTTCAACAAAGTCATCGAGCTCCTTCAAGAAATTCGATATTTCCACAACATTGAGTTTGGAAAACTTCTCTTTCGTTTGTTCCAAGGTATTTCCGCGGAAAAGTGAGGTTTGGTATAACGTACCCCACGATGCTTGCAAATTCTTTGAAAATTCCAAGTCTTCATCAGATACCTAAAATTATTTACACATATACGTATACACGTATAGCTCCGCAGACATGCTTTTTATTGTGTTATATTTATATTATTAGGGTAGTTTAAAAAAAAAACATTAATTAGGCTCGTAAAAACCACTCACATCGATGTTGTGTTGCCTCAGCATACTGAATATGCTTTGCATGGCTTTGTACTTGACCTCGGCTGTGACAGTGAACTGCTGGACCTGAGCAATGGCTGCCATCACTTGCTTGAAATCGTCCAATCCTTTGATGTTCATATTTATAGTTGTTCGTAGAGCCTACAAAACCAATCGAACGAATAATTGTACATTATGTTAATAATTACATATGAAATTGTTGCAAACGCAAGTAATTCATATCTTACTTCAATCTGATTTTTCAGATCATGCATATTGGTCCTGGTTTTGGTAGCAATACATTGGCCGAGGTTGTTTTTCCACTCTTGAGCATGATCCTGCACTTGTTTTATGATCGGCCTCAAATTGACTCTTATCGCTCCAACGTCGACGAACTTCGCGTGTTTGTCTAAATCTGCGATGATATCTTCGAAAAAGAAGAATTTTTCGTCGTACTTATGAATCTGCTCATGTTTTTGTATGTACTTTTCGCAAGACAAGTTCTTGTCAAACGTCCACAGATGTTGGTACTTTTGCCACCTGTGAGAAAAGTAAAAGAATAGTCCAATTTAACCCCAAGAAGACACAAGTTTGCGCGTTTTCCGCTGAAAAAACACCCTTTGTCGCTACTCCTCTTTTCGAAAACACTCTTCTTAAAGCCACAGCCAGCATTGGAATACTTGGAGTTGACATATCGAACGACGTTCAGTTTCGCGGTCACTTGGAGGGAAAGGCTAATTTAGCCTCCAAAAAGCTTGGTGTGCTCAGCAAGGCGAGACGGTACTTCACTCCGGGTCACCGCATGCAACGATATAAAGCGCAAATTCGGCCCCACATGGAGTACTGCTCTCACCTCTGGGCGGGGGCTCCCCAGTACCAGCTCCTTCCACTTGACCGTATTCAACGCAGAGCGGTTCGAATCGTCGACGACCAATCCCTCTCCGAGCGGCTTGATCCTTTGGCGTTGCGTAGAGATGTGGGGTCACTCTGCATCTTCTACCGCATTTACCATGGAGAGTGTTCAGAGGAGTTGTTCGGATTAATACCTGCAGCCGAGTTCCGTCATCGGACGTCGAGGCAGAGTACGAAATTCCACCCGTATCACCTCGACGTCCGCCGTTCCACAACTGAGCGTTTTTCAAGGCAGTTTATGCCGCGCACCACCACTTTGTGGAACCAGCTGCCCACTGAAGTATTTCCGAACCAATTCGACTTAGGGTCCTTCAAGAAAAGAGCGTACCAATTCTTGAAAGGCCGGCAACGCACTCGCGACCCCTCTGGCATTGAGAGTGTCCATGGGCGGCGGTATCACTTAACATCAGGTGAGCCTCCTGCCCGTTTGCCCCCTGTTCTATAAAAAAAAAAAAATAGCATTAGCCATAACTTAATGTTATAACGGTAATGTATATTAAGAAAAAATATTTAATTACTTTTGAATATAGGTATTGATATCTTGAGTCAGCCTGTAGACCGTGTCCTGTATCAGCAACGTCATGTCATTGATAGAAACCACTCGGAGTACGTCTTCGAAGTATGAGAATACGTAAAACTCGTTGCCGGTCGCTTCGGCCAACCGCTGAGGAGGACACGGGAGACAGGTCTTCTTCATCCATCGAGGAAAGGCCGTTAGTCTGGAGACACAAAATCATTAATTTCTTCAGTCTAGAAAATGTCAAAAAAATCAGAGAAAGTAGATGCCTCCGCTTACCTATTAAGAAAATGCTTAATATTATATCCGACGATGTTGTAGACTTCGGCTGCCGTAGGTCTCATGGTAATATCGGGTGGCACAAGGACTGCATCCACTTGGAACAAGGGTGCCTTATCACTTAGAGACTTTTGGAAATCATCCAGATTTTCAAGTGTCAACCTTAGATGAGACCATTTTAGTTAGATCAAAGTATTCAACGAGAAGTTAGTAAGTTTACAAATCAAAAATACACTTACGACACTATACACTTAAATATCTTCTTCTCCCAATGCGTGTAATAAGCCGTCATTACTTCCGATCTTCCAGTACTTGATCCAAGTATCAAATATTCCAGTTTCATGAGAATCGGCCCAATGCGGTCATAGATGCGAGACAATATCGCTACTCTCTCCAAGCGTTCGTTTTCCACTTCGACAAAGTAGGTCTTAATTAAAAATATACAAAAGTAAATTCAGGTCCAAACTATTCACCAAGATTTATTCATAAGAATTGGACTGCCCGTGCATTTTTCAAATTTATTAACATTATCAGTAATTATTACCTTACAAGGATAAAGCCAAGAATCGTCAGGTTCTTGTGTATCAGGGTCAACATAATTATTTGGCTTCACAAACGGGAACAAGTCAAACTGATGCAGTTGGTCTAAAAGGAATTGAACCTCCTTTTCAACCATTTTCAATTGCTGATACACGGCTTGTAACGAGTTTTGACCTTTAAACGAAAAAGCCGTCAGTATATGAAGGTGCTCCTACTTTATAGTCTTTATAGTCATCGACCCAAAGTACAAGAGGGATATACATTGTACACTGTCACAATCAAATAAAATGATTATATCTAAGGATGCTTTTCATACTAACGATTACGCACACATTGTTAATATGCTCATCTCTTCCTACGCCTATACTGACTAACCGAAACCTAAGATTATATCTGTGTTACATTTTAATTTGAATGACCAAAAGCAGCTGCGGAAGATCAGATCAGAGGAAGTGATAAAAAAAAATTAAATTGTATATATCGTACTTAAAACGTGAGACTTATATTATTTGAATTATTTTGTATTAAGACGAAATCCTAAAATACCTTTAGTAATGTCCTTAATGTAATCTTTAATCCCGAGTGCTGTCCACGTAATTCTTGTCAATCCGGGAAGGATATGTCTCTCCATGTCCAAAAGATGGCGCTTCATTAAATGAGTTTCGGATGGACTGAGTGACTTAGTGCTAGCGGTATATTTAGAAATAATAATTTCTAGTGCCTCTAATTCATAGTAAAGTCGAGATTTTTGCATGGCCACGTCACGAATGTTAGATGGTAGCTGAAAGCCTGAAAAAATAAATGGAATATCATGAGCATTAATTAATCACGATTATTTTGTCAGAAAATAATGTAAAAGTTACATACAATCACAACACCACCTGGACAAAGAATTGTGAATCTACTATTAATGAATGCAATTTTAAGATATTGTGTATATATATTATGTAATTAAGAATGTGCACAATGTGCATGTACTGTATATTAAGATTCATATGGATACATTTAGTTACATACCTAGTTTCTCCATAAGTTCGGCTTCGTGTATAACGAGAAATATTTGCTTATCGAAGTTCGGTTGAAATTCCAGCTCATATTCTTGCATTAGTTTATGGACGGTCAGGTCTCGCCAAGTCACATCAGTCTGATAAACAATTATTTACAACCACAAACGAAGAATTACTATTAATAGAATGAGTTGAATTTAAAAAGCTTATAAATTATTAAAACAATAAATACGTTACCAATCCTTCTTTGGCGAGTAACGATATTGAGCTCGGGGATCGAACATTTTCATAATGTTGGCCTGGTATCCTCATTAACATTACTGAAAATATTGTACCGTTAGCAACGATAGGCAAGTAAAAAACCCTTTAAGACAGACGGAGTGCATTAAGAATGTTTACATGCTTTATCTCTGCGCCGCTTCTGTGCAAGTTCCTTGTTTACAATGTCAGCTGGTTTCAGAGACCAAATCGAAGCTTTCTTCTTTGCCACGTGAGCCTTTCCCGCAGCAGTTAATTGCATGCCGCGTTGGGTAGATGGCGCTTCTTCTGTTATTGTGAATATAAATATAATTACACAATAAATAATGTATATTGCTCATGAAAAGTTAATCTTTATAACAATTATAGAAGTCATTCTAGTCGAGATAAATATAAATAATTTAAATTTTTGCATAGTTGTTCAACCACCACACCTTCCTCTTTCTTGAAGACAACGTGCAGTATGTTTTTCTTCATCATATCGTCCACAAATTTTGATGCGCCGTCGACCCACTCGTTGTACTTAGTGTCTTCGTAATCTTTGATAACCTTCGAAAAGGCTTTGTATTGAAGAAAAGCTTCCTTCTTTTGTTCGCATTCGTTTAATTTTTCGATCTGAAATTTATATTACGTAGAAAATGACTTGGCGAAGGATAAAAAAAATGTATAAATCTGGCCTTTACCTACTCGTGAAAAATGTGTAGTAAGTAGTTGTTAATTTGTTGTTGTTGCCATTGATGATGACGATAATAATAATTAAGTGATAGCAAGAACGTTATATTGTATTAAGATTATACCTTTTGAAACTTCATAATAGGCTGTTTCATCCTATTAAAAAGTGCTCTCGCCCAATAGATGGCGCCGGCCATCGGTGGATGATATCGAAGCAGTGGAGGATTTTTACGAAAGCGCTGGAAGCACCAATAAATATTCTACTTTAATACATCATAAGTGTTTTCGACACTTCTTATTAGAAGTAAGTTATCATTAATAAGCGTAAAGTTATCTAATGGTATTCGCGGTTTGTACCTATGCGGAGCAGAATGAGATTTTCCGAATACTGTTCTATTGCATTGAACTTGTGAACCTAGTTCGGCCCAGTTAATTTTTTATGCGGCTTATACAATGTTTGAGCAAATACCGTAAACTTGTCCTCGACAGCTGTGAGCTCTTTTAAAAACTGTCGCATCACAAGATCAAACTTCGTTTCGAGTTGTCGCTTTATGGAGTCCCTCAGGTCATACTCCACGAACTTAAGTAGCACGTCAAGAGCTTCCTCAGAGTTTCTACAAGGCGTAATTATACAATTTATATTTAATGCCTATATACAGACTCTTGTGCTGTAAAGAAGTAGTGATTGTGAAATGTTCGTGAGAGACAGATAACTTAAAAATATTAATTATGTTTCAGCACTAAACAAAGGATACGTAACATTATAATATGGATATATTATTGTCAAATGTTTCTACATTGGGTTGTCTAATAAAGAAGACAAATTAGTGTTGGTACTGTTGACATGGAATGAATCTACTATTGCAACATAGTTAAATGATTATATCAATAGATCAAACACACAAAACTAATACTACCTATGTCTTGTGTAACAAATTTTAGCAATATAAGTAATAAATATCACAGTTAAAAATGTGCTTAGATTACATTATAAATGAATGATTAATCAATTACACTTTTAATTATAGGAATAAATAAGCAGTGCCTATTTGTTTGTTGGCAAATCTAAAGCTTTAAGATTTAAGCAAAACAATGATGTTAAGAATAATGAAACTGTAGGTTAAAACATTCTAATATAAAATATATTTTAACTTTAAAGTCCATTTCGAAGAGATATAAAAAAGTATTAAATTAAATTGATTAAGTCAAATTTTATTTTATTTTTCAATACAATATACAACTAAAAGTCATGCTAGGTTGGATCAAAGATATAAGCTTACAATTAATCGCTCAAATTCTTATATTGATTCTACACCATTTCAAGTGATCAACACTGATTTTTCATTGATGAAATATTAAATTTCGTATGTTGACATAACATAGCCATAACTCATCAATATTTATGAGGTTGCTGCTGACTACAGTTTAGCGCTAAACATACCATTTATGGGTCTTAGTTTTACATCTTTTACTTTAAACTTTGTATTGTACTGCGCAGTGAAATGGTGACAGTTATAATCAGGGAACTTACCGCAGATTACTAAAACAGGAATTAATGTAATTCTTGGCCTCCTCTTCAAGATATCGCACCTCATTCCAGAAGTCATTCATGATGACGTCCCAGTTTTCCTTGTTGTCGAACACAAACACGCTAAAGTCGATGGTTCGTATCGGATAGACGAGATTTTTTACACGCTTCCGGACATCGTCTATTTGTGTCGGATCGCTGATAATGGACGCCAGCTCCAAGCCAAATACACGCTCGAAGTCTATTAGAACCTACACATATACAATATATATATATATATATATATATATATTATTTATCATATAAAAAGGCTCTTCGGATGTGACGGAAATTCTTGGAACCTGTATAGCATCGCCTAGATCCCGGCCAACGGTCCCAATGTAATCAGTTCTAGTGAAAAGCAACGGCTGGTCAAACTCCCAGCGAGCGCCTTTTCCGCTCAGCTCGATATTCCGCCTCGTCTCCTTGTACAAACAGTGCCACAGCTCCATTATCTTTTGGCCTGCGCGTGCTTGTGATAACACCTCTTCATTCGTTTTGCTTAAAACGATATCGGTATCAATTAGAAAAATATATCTTCGAAGGGTTCGTTGTGTAATAATATATTAATGTTAAAAAATCTCCGAATGTTTTCAAATTTAAAATAAATTAAAGAATCCTTACTCAAACAGCTTATGAACATCCAGAAATCGTTCAAGTTTGTCACAAAGCGCCCAGGAGATCCTAGCCATCAACGGTATCATAGTCTCGTCAGTGCGATAACCCTTTGAAAGCACCCACATCATGTAGATGCTCTCCACCAGTTCTGGCAAAATATCTATCACTTGCTGAAGCGGCGAGTCGTCTTCTATCACCTAGTCAGGAAGTACGTTCATAGAAAGAAATTTATACGTTTCTTAGGTCACAGAATGTATCATTTATCAGATTGTTGATGAAAATAACCGATGTTATAATTAAATAATCATCATGCATTAAAGAAACAATTCATTGCTAATATGATTGATGCTTAACTTAACTCATTGAAATTTACAGTCTTGGCTCATGCATACTCAGTTAATACCTACTTATTATAATAAATTATATATAGATAAGCTAATAGAGATTTCTGTCTTAGAAATGTAGTTCGGAGCAACATACGTATATATTACTTGAAACCTAATGTAAGAGAAGAGGTTATCCACATATCAAGATATTAGATAATTTATAATATAATGTGTGTGTTTCAATATACAGGTGGCTTACTCTGAATCTTTCCATCAGAGTCTACACTTATGAATTTAAGCACGCTTATTGACCACCATGACCTGGTCTTTCAGGCTCCAGCGCGTTCAACGAAGCTTGAAAGCAAATCGCTTGACCACTCAGATAAAGTTACGGGTAATCGACGGAAGGTAGTAAACTCAATAGACTCAACATCAACTTAACAAGTGGAATAATGTAAAATAACTTTATTTTTTTATATATGTAATTAAACTTACGGTAAAGAATCTCATGAGTGTCGAGAGGAATTTCAAGTTATCTCCAGCTAAATTATATTGTTCTAGCAATCTTTCTTTATATTCTCTGAAACCCTAAAAATTAAAAATGATATTCGAATAAGAAATTCCACGAGAATTATATAAAACTACTTTCTTATATGTTCAACTTACATCTAAATAAGGAGAATTTGCTTTTTGTAGCAAACTCAAAATCTTGACAACCATGGGTTGCTTGAGTTGTTCGACGAGTAATGATATCTCTGCGTCTCTTTCTCGCCAGTACTTGTATTCGGCGACGGGTCCTTCCCCTTCACGCGTCTGTATCGTAAATGTATATTATTATAGATAAGTATATACAATTCACCCGAAACAATGTCATGGTGTTAATAGGTAAATACTGACTTTTCCTAAACAGGCAGCAATAGTGGAATCGATATGGTTTTGCCACATGACAACAGCCTCTTCCAGTTGAGCAACAAAGTCAGGGTCGTTGATGTCAATATGCGCATGCGGCTCACTCAGCGCTGCTATATTGGGCATGGGCAACTGTATCTCTCCTTCGATATGCTCTATAGTCCTACAATTTACTTTCATGTTCACCCAGAAATATATCGCTTTATAAATTAATTGATTTTGACTTTTCCTTTTAAAGATCAGATTTATTTAGAGAAGCGAATCTAAAAATACATTACCAATCAACTATCGCCACAAGTTCGTTGATATCTGAAATTACTTCTTGGGCCGTTGTCTTCTGCTTATCTGCTTTTTGTGCAGTTTTACTCTTTGCTAATGGAATATCTATAGACGATGATTGCTGCAAGCGGTATTTTTCGAGTCACATTATATTTAACTTAAAATAACCTTAAGAAACTTATTAAAAAATAAAGTGATTTTACCTTCGCTGTAACGGAAGACGTCGGTCGTGTTACCTTATACATTTTAGCAGGTAGTACTGATTCCGATCGCATGTTTTTCATTCTATAAATAAGTATTAAAATATGTACGTAAATACAACATTGTTTTACAATAATTGTTAACCTAAAATATATTCCAACTTATACCGTCTCTCAGCATTTTCTCCACGGGCGATATTTGACATCCGTCTGTAATCTGAAGGTCGTAAATAATTCACCTGGTTTAAAAAACATCAAGTATGAGTTTCTGTAAATTTATTATTGATTCAGATTATAAAGTATTTGTTTCTCTGTGACAACAGCTCTATACTTTTAAACATACTACATGATAATAAAATGATTACTCCGAAGAGCATTCCATTTCAATTGTCACTTATCTGGTTTTTAATTCACTATTAATATATTATATACTCGTATATAATATTGAACTTGTTTTTTTTAGGCATACTAAACACTATTACTTCTACAATGTTTTATTGTTATTAGAAAGAAATCATTACATCAGAAGCAGTTTCATCCATTTTGTGATGTTCTCCCGCGAACGATATCTGTCGCGAGAGCACTCCCTGAGACGATTGCTGTGCCATCGTGCTGATCTCGCGAAACTGCTTTTCGAACAATGGGATGAAAGTCTGCAACGAATTAAGAGCCGGCGTTTAACATAGTCATATTTTCTTTTAAGCTGAATACCCAAAAGTGTTACTTTCAGCTTCTTGAAGCGAAGGTAACGTTTACGTTATTCTTTTCGTGAACAATCATCGAAGTTTAACGAAAAATTATGGTGTGCGACAGGAATGGTAGGACTAGTATGATGGGAAAAAGTTTTTCAAAACTCAAATCTTTATTGCATTCCTTATTTTACACGTGACACGTCATAATTTATTACAATAAGGACTTTGGTTAGGCACAGCAATGTTGTGAGTTTGCTTTTGTTTGCTTTATTTATATACATTATTTATTTGGTATATTTGCTTTGGCTTCACGTTGCGAAAAGAAGAATGTAATTAATATTATTAATAAACTTAACTTTTATAAAGAAATTTAAGTCTATCAGTCAGATACTCTGTAACAGTGTAATAACATTTCTTATATAATAGCTCCTTAAAAAAATTGGTAAACCTCAAGTTATTTGTTTCATTCTTAAAATTTTCTGGTCATTTGTTGTATATTTTTATTGAGGTCAATGGTCCTGATTGATGTTTTTAACATCTGTTAGAATAACTGGTCACTAGAAATGCCAATTCTAAATAATGTAAGCATTAAGTATAAATGAACTAAATATCCGCTATGTAATATATATGTAGAAAGGCTGCGTAATTAAACGAATTTGTTAACTACTAAGGACCTAGTACCAAAAAATAGAAAAAAACCTTGAGCTGTAACCCTAAGCTCATCAAAACCCTTCCACTGGTGCAGCCAACCAGTACATACTCCGGCATCTTCAACTTTGTGATTCTGGGGGTCTCGTGCAAAGGAATCTCCTCCTGGGTTTGCCTCACAAAGTAAATGTAGCGGCGATTGCGGTTTGATACTTGCGGAGTAAATGAACCGAATAATGGCACCAGTTTTGGATATTGTATTATTTTCGGTACCGATCTCTGAAAAAATATATTTCCGAAATAAATCAGTTAAGCCTATTCTCAATTACGATTTCAGTTATTGATTATTTAATGAAAGACAGTGTAATAGTAATTTACTTTTGCTTTAGTCGAATTATGAATACTCACAATAACAGTATAATATTCAACTGTCCCATCCACCTCTGGATCAAGATCTTGTGGAGCTACAATAAATATTTTTTAATATTTTAAAACAAAACAACTAATCCACGGCATTATATAGCTTACTTCCTACCATGATTTTAAAATAGACTTAATAGATTCAAAGCCCAGGAGTTAACTAACTCACTTTACTTTGAGGTTACTGCAGAACTCGGGATATCAGTGAAGTAATTTCATCTATTATAAATTTCTAATTTAGTTACGTGGTGGAAAGGAATAAAAGTCCTCCGCGATGACTGGTGGCTCCTCCTCTTCTACTTGAAAGTAGACTGAGGGCTTCGACTCCATTTCGCTCTCAGAGACTACAGTAACGGCTGCCACAGTTTCTATGTCACCAGCATCCGTTTCTTCCTCGGGTTCTTCTGGAAGTAGTAAGTATGGTTATTTAAAATAATGAAGTTAAACGTTTCTTCTAATTTAATGTAAATAAAAATTTAATGTAAATAGGAATGTGAGACTTGACCAAAATACCTAGTCTTACGCTTTTCATACTCTTTATACTTTTCATGCTCTTCATGCTCTTCATGCTTTTCATACTTTTCATTGATTTTGCACTTTTTGCTGCATCCGGTTCGATTTCAGGTTCTGCTTCGGGTTCCTTGCCTTTCTTCCCCTTTTTCTTTTTCGGTGGAGGTGGTGGTGGAGGCGGTGGTGGAGGGATAATTCCTAAAATAATGGGGAATTACGTCTCGCGATTCATATATTTCATTTCTCGCTATTTACGAAATTTGTTTAAAGCATTTCTAGTAAACCTCACGAACGGTACCATATTTTTAAAAGTTTTACCAATTTCTACCTTTATCTTCCAAGTACAAGACTGTGGTTGACTCCTGCATGTCAAAAAATATTGGATTTTGACATATGAGATATGGTTAGCGCAATCTAGATTCTAAATCTAAAGGTGCGCTTACACGAGGGCAATAATTGCTCGGCGACACGAATGGACCGATCTGGAGCAATTAATGGAGCGATTTCAATAAATTCAATAAATGTCAATAAATTATTTCGGCGATATTGCTTCTAATTGCTCCAGATATTTCATATCGCTCAATGTCGCAGATACGAATTGACGAATATCCAATGGACTTGGAAATTCCTAGCAATTTTTGTATATATCTCTTTCGCACTTGTTTTTTTTGCGGCTTGCCGTCTTGCTTCCGCGGGGAAAGCGAGAGGTCTGAATAATAATAATTTCTAATTACCTTATTCAAAAGTAATTCAAAGTCTGTTCGTGACATTCTAGTAAAGTTTTTGAATAATATATTATCTAATCCTTTCACAATGAAAATTGCGGCCTCTTTGCCAAAAACGATCGCACCCAGATACGCCTATTCCTTTTTGTTTTTGATTAATAATAACAAAAGCACTACAAGCCGCCGCAGCAAGAACAATGTCGTCCATAGCGAGCGAACACTGAAATGCTCGTGTATGACAGTATTGCCTAGTTGATGAAGTTGCGCCATATCGCTCAAAATTGTATTGCACAGTATTGATGCTTGTTGCCGTTGCCGTAAATTGCTTGATGTAGTCGTGACGTCATAGTTGACGAGTGTTGACTGGAATTGAGCAATTTTAGTTGCCCGTGTAAGCGCACCTTTACCCGTATATTACTGGAACTATTTTACTTGGATTCCAGGTTTTAAGATATACATTTCAGCATAATAAATGACCTAAGAGTAACTTACTCCATTCAGTAAATTCCTTGTCCTCGTGAATAAGTTTATCCACGATGATTTTGCTCACGAAAAATGTCTTCTTATCTAAAGATAGTTCGTTCGGAAGAACCGGAACCGTTACAAATGTAATCATTTGTTGTCTTGTATCACCTAAGTCAAAAAAGTAGTACCTATTAGTTTTTTTTGTTTTTATAGAACAGGGGGCAAACGGGCAGGAGGCTCACCTGATGTTAAGTGATACCGCCGCCCAAGGACACTCTCAATGCCAGATGGGTCGCGAGTGCGTTGCCGGCCTTTTAAGAATTGGTACGCTCTTAAATTAGTAACTATAATCTAAAGCGCCGGTAATCGAACTGAAATTATGCTGTGTCACACTAACCTTCAAACATATTATAGAAGAGCTCCTCATCCTTCAAGCCGATGTAACTGAGGATGCGGTCTTTAAACCACTGTACCCGAGGGTCTTTGAACAGGTCTAAGTCATAGACAGGGATCTCGATTGACTCGTTAGACGCGGTCTCTGACATGCTTTCTTCACTTAGCGGTGACAATACCAACAAATAATTGTTCTAAGATTTATTTTAGTAGGAATTTGTGCGCACTAGTTTAGTCACATTAAGTACAAAAGCTTTTTATAGCAAATTTTTTTCATTGCTAATTCCGTACTGTCACTATGCAGTGTCGGTAAAACAATTGAACGATGAATCAATAAGAACGTTGCTATGGAAACTCTATAACACAGTTTTTAAGTGGTATATTCTCTTTGGTAACGCAAACGAGAATTTCGTAATTTTGAAAAGAAACGATATTTCGGTCTACCGGAGAGGTCCACCTGTGTAGGTATGCCTGCGCAGGTAGACCGGAATGTGTGTGGGAATAGACCTGTGCAGGTTTTTGAACCTGCACAGGCGACCGGCGCAAGATCGAAAATCGATTCTTTCTAGTGACACCGTACGGCGTACCTGTGCGTGTGTGCGTGTACTCCGGTCGCCTGCGCAGGTTGTTAAGATAGCAATCGGCAATGTATCTACATTTATTACTTATGTTTTAAGTTTGATTTGTTATTTAACTGTGTCTTCTTTTTTTATAATAGCAGTAACCATTTCAAGTAATTTAATGTATGTTTTCTCGTCCATTCGAAGATAGTTTTTAAAATCTTCTGGTTCAAATTTCAATTCATTTAATAAATTAACATGACTATATGTTTTCCTTTTCAATAACCAATGCTTACACCACTTTCTTCGCTTGTTTTTCGCAAAAAGAACTGAAGACCGCTCCGATACACCGGAACGTCCCCATACACGCTACCTTTGTTCGGTTGACCTGTGCAGGTATGCCTGCGCAGAGAGATTACCTCTCCGGTAGACCGTAGCGTGTATGGCCGGCATTGCACATATAAATGTATTTTTTTTAAAAGTCCGCGAAACTATGGTAATATCTTAAATCAACCTTTAAAGTTTCCTAGCACCACACAGAGAGTGTAGGCGTTTAGTAAGTGCTCTAGTAAGGCTGGAGAAAATTGCTTCATTTGCTCCTATTTTTTTTAAATTGCAAGTATTAAGCACAGTAGCCGATTTTTGCACGTCTTTAACCACTAGGCAAGCAATGCTCACTAGCTGTTGCCCCCGGTGACGTCGTTCGCGTCTAAATTGGAAACAAAAATTATCGATAAAGAAATTCCAAAATTCAACAAAGAAACTTATTAACACTTTGATATTCGTATTGATAATATCGTATACTGTAGCACAATGTTTATCATAGCAGGTAGTGTCATTAATATATTTGCAACGGTTCAAAATGTTTTAAAATAGACTAAATATTTTCTAAAATGTTAAGTTAATTCATTGGTATTTATGGCATTTCTTTAGTTCCATGCTTTAGCTGCCTAACATTTTCAACCTTAAGAATAAATAAAAGAAAACCAAAAGTTTTGAATTTATTTAATTTGGATCTCACTTAAACTATTATTATTTTTACTTATAACTATTAAAGCCTATTATTAATATAGTAAACGGCACTGAAAATATTTAAAATAAATACTTAATAATTAAGAAATATAATTAAAAAAATTATGTATTAAATTTGGGTTGCGGTGATATTTTTGGATAACCGTTTGGATCAGGGGCATCCAAGTCTTCTATGTTGGAATTTTTATTTTTCAATGTTTGGCTTTCGTTTTGGATGAAAGATGATGCACCATAACTCGATGGGTGCTTCACGGAATAATCTATATTAGTAGTTAGATCTTCCTGATACAAATTTGCTGATCCCGTCGGTGAACCAAATTCGTTTAATTGAAAAGTGCTTAGTATTCGTTCTTTATCTCTTTTGTCGCTTAATTTATATCCTATAGATGGAATTAACTGTAAACCAAGATTGTCTATTTTTTCATTATTTGAGTGTTGCAGGTGTTCTTGATCATTTATTTCTTCATTTACTCGATTATTTTCATGATTGTTATTCAATTGCGAAAAAATATAAAACGACTGATCCTTGTTATAAGTTAGTAGTTTATCATTATCGAAGGGATGCGACAAGGTTCCTCTAATGGTATCTTGAACTTGTGCAGTTATTCCATTTGTGGATGTTAAAAATGAGCTTAAATTTGGCGGTTCGTCTTGTTTTTGGAAGGTTTCTTGATTAGACGTTTGTTCTAATCTATCGTTGATAGGTATTTGCTGAGATCGAATAACTTCTATGTCAGGCACATTTTGCTTTTTATTACTAATTTGAGGTCGGAAGTTTTTATGCCCGTTTAGTTTTGGAAGAGTAAAAAGGTTGTTTTTTATATTTGGTATGTTGTAATAGTCACGTGTCACTTCTGGAACCGGGTGTTGATATAGTTGACCACTATATATATGGTTAGAGGGTGGTCGTAGGTTCTGAATCCTACTATTAATAGTCGGGATTCTTGAGTCAACCGGCCGTATCTGGCTGTATGATAACTTCTTAACAGGTGTTTGTTGTCTTTGTTGATAATATAAATTTTGTGGTCTGTTGTGGTGTTCCCGTGTAGCTGCTTTCTGTTGTGAAATAGCTAGTAACGGTGATGAAATAAGCTTTTTGTTGTTGTGTCTGTTGACATTGTTATTTGTAAATTGTGTTGATGTAAGCTCTGATATTTTTCTAGTTATATCTTCGGCATTACTGTATCTATAGTTCTGTAGTTGTGGTGTTGGAGTTGTTATTACATTCTGCTTTGCAATATTGTTATAGTCTTTTGCTGCGTTCAAAGAGTCCGCCAGAAATGAAAACACCAAATCCTGTGAATTTGAAATATTTGAAAATTTACCTAATGACAATTTCCCTATTGGCATAAGCCCGGCACCAGTTTTAGTAGCCAGGTTATTTGCATATACTAAATAATTGCTACTACCAGTATTTAAAACCTCAAAGTCATCAGAAGAAGTTGCGTTCTTAAAAATGATTTTGGCAATTTTTTCTGGTATGGTAATTTTAATAGAAATTGTCCTCTCTATAGTATTTACGGGTTCTAAATAGAAAGGTAGATTAGAAAGTTTATTTTCCGATAAATTATTTGAAATTTTAAAGGGAGGTTCCAGCTGACTTGATGGAATCGCAATTTTTTTTGAGCTTTTAGTAGGAATATCTGGAGACTTAGATGTTAACTCTTCTTTGCTTAGAATTTCGTTATCAACTTTTAATTGCTTTTTATCTAATAAGGTGTTCTCATTCTGATATTGAGCAAAATTTTGGTGTGTTGATGTAGGTTGTACAATTTTATTTGTATCCCGTATAATATCATTAACGGTTATATCAATTTTTTCTTTTGTTAATACATCAGTAAAACTTATGTTGTTATGGTTAGTGTTAACATTCGACTGCTTTGTAACGGTAAACAACGGGGAAATGTTGTTTTTTTGTTCAACTAACTCGTATTGAGGTGTTTGAGAGGATGACGCTGCTAATAGATTTTCTTTCTGGTTAGTTTGTATTGGTTGTGGGTTGTACTGTTTAATAGGTGATAAAGATTGTCTAGATATTTCTGCATTTGGTGAAGGTATATAAGTATTTTGTAGTGATCTTAAAGTCGTTATTTCATACCGTGATGGTGGTGTATTCGTGCTAAAGTCTGACTCTAAATAAAGTCTGTTTAGTAAATTAGGACGGAATGTTGTGGGAGACGCGTTATATAAAATATCACGATTAGATTCTTGCTTTCTATTTGTATTTTTTTTATTGTAAAAGTAATCATTAGTGGTTTTTGTACTCGATTGATAGTTTTGTTTTGGTTTTTCGTAAACATAAGGATTGGACATCGAAGGCGATGGTTCCGAAGCAGATTGAATGAACTTTTCGCTACTCTCTGTGGGTTTTATGATAAAATTTCTATTTTTTGGTTTTAATATCCAAGTTTTAAAAGTAATTCTTGATTTTGGACTACTTGCGTTTTCACCAGGTACAATACTTTTAAATGCTATAGTTTTTGATATAACAGTGGGTGGAATATTTGTACTTACCAGATTTTGTTGAGCTTCTACATTTATTAGGTTACTATTTTTAGCGTGTACTGTTTGTGCTTGATTAGTTCTATATGATTCAAATTCTAATTGCTGTTTTTGATTGCTATAAGCATTGACTTTACTGTTGCGATTGTCATAAGAATTTAATTTATTATAGTTTGTTGGTTCGTATAAAGTTGCTTGAGTTGGGCTCGGAGTGTTTGTGCGATATACGTTTGCTTGGTATTCTTTAGTATTTTCAGCACTTTGTTTATTAATAAATTGAACGTTTTGGGTACCCTGATTTTCTCTATATAAACTAAATAGTGGTGAGGACGTCGACGCAGCAAAGCTTATATCATTTGATAAATGTTCACCGAAGGATTCCTTAGAAGGTACATATAAAATGTTATTATGACTAGAAGTGAGGGCGCCATTGGGATACAGCAACTCGGACGGAGGTTTGTACGTTTGCGTTACTAAGAAATTGTTTTTTATAAATCCATTACTAATAGGATTCCTCATTGGATGTGTAATCATTTTTCTAACATCCTTTAAAAGTTGTGGTCCCGGTTTAAGGTTCTCAAAACGTTCGTTATTATTCTGGATTTCCTGTTGACAGTTTACGTTCATCCACCAATCACAAACGAAGACGGCCTGGTTAAACAGAGTTCCGTTGGGGCAAAGAAACGACTGAAAACCGTAAGTAGTTCCAGCTGTACAGATTCGAAATACCTGGCAATTCGTTTCTTGGTCGGCATAATAACCTGAAAATTTTAATAGAAATTTGACTTTCATGCATGTTTTTCTTTAAATAAAAATTCGTTGGCTAATTGATAATATAATACCTGGTTCTCGACCCGCGCATGAAAAATGAGTTCTTGGAATTGCATCTAACGTAGGGTAGTCTCTGCCTGCATCTCCTGGAACGTTCAGCTTTATATCCCAATCGAGCCTATTGTCTTTTTGTCCCTCTACTTGCCGACTACTCCATGCCATTAATATACTTACTGGAACAATTAAGGTATTTTTAAATCAAAACACTGCTTTTGGCATATTAATAAAATGATTTCATTAATATGACATATATTATTTAACCCAAGAGATTCTTTGAGATAATAAGTTCTCAAAGTTTTTGTTGCGTTGACAGAACCGACAAGTAAAAAGCGTATAAATGAAATGAATGACTTCAATGGGTAGACTAGGTACGATGCATGAGACAATAGGACTTGTTGAAGCACTCGGCACAATGCTCAAGCGCCATGCGGAAGCTTAAAAAACTAAGCATTTCCCTTATTACTTTGTTTTCATTCATTAAAATAAACGAAAAATTTACGAAGTTAATATTTAATACAAAATAATATTTGTCGTTAGGTAAATTAATTTAAATGAAAGTTCCATTGATCAAACCAAACCACCACGGGAGTGGCCCAATCGAATAGATATCACAGCACACAACAGCTGTATTCGTAGTTGGGAAATTGTAATAGTTATTTAATTTATATTTATTCTAACTCATAAATATTCAGTATTTACAATATTCGTAATGTTCATAGTAATAATAATAATAATAAAAATGATAAATAGAAATTTAAAAAGTTTGGTCCCTGTGGCAGTGTATAGTGTATCCTCGCTGTATTGCGATACTTATTCGTTGAGTGAGGAAAGCACCAGCTCGGGTCACCGGTACTTTCTACCAGGCACTTAAATCTTTAATTAGCTCGTGTGCAGTTAAACCCCACGGGCCAAGGGATTTTTATTTATATAAAAAATATATATATATCAAATATGTATCAGCAAATGTATGTACATATATTTCAAGCTCCAAAGCTTTGAAGAAGGTAAAATAAATTTGAGTCGGTCTTTTCTGCCTCAAAAGTACCTATTAAGTCAATAGGCATTTGTTAAATCTAGACAGCGATGAATTCTTTTATTTACTTTATGATTATAATATAATCTTATAAGTGATTACATTAATGTAGCACATAGCAATCAGAGTAACTAAATTTAATTAATCAGCTTATTAGTTTGACGACGCAAACGTTCTGAAACAAAAGCTTATAAGGGCTTTTCACCGATTCCCTCTCGATACTGCACCACATATAAGAATAGTATTATTTGTGTTATTAGCGTGACCCGATTCCATTCTCTACCTTTTTACAAGTATAGCCTTTTCATTTGCTTAAACACTAAATTATTTTTATTGTTTCATTGATAGCAAACTCTCTCCTATAATAATAAATACGATAATATTAGGAATATAGCGAACCCTTCAGAACCTATCAACATATAAAATATAAGTTAACTTACTGTATATATAAAAGCGCCACATAATAAACATCACTGCTAATCACAATATCAATCACAATGTCACGACAATCCGATCGCACGCGCATTTAGCCAAATGATCATTTTGTCGGTAACTCTGGCTATAATCCGCCCTTCCATTAACCAATGGATTAATTTATTTGTCTTGTGCAATCATGTTCTGCTGGCGACACTTTCTTTATTAATAGGAGAAGACATTTCTAAAACCTGTGAAGTAAAGTAACTTAACGGTTTGAAAATCATAACTATTACAAAATTGTATACTATAGGTACTATAGACAATATACATATATATACTATGTTAATAGAAAATTGCCCACTTAATTTTCTTTTACGCGATCACTTTCCTTTGAAGCCCATTCTTCAAACGCTTCCTGCTAACAGCATTTCCCACAAATGCACTTTCGTTTACTTCTTTTGTTGTAAAAAACCTTTTGTATAAGCCTATTATTATATCATTATTGAATACCGTCGAGATGCCATTTCTTGAGCGCTGTATTTCCGACAAAATAATTGTAAAAAGAGGGCCTATTTCTGTAGTAAAGGATAACATTATCTTCGTGTAGGATTTTCAGTCAAAGCATTTAATGCAATACAACTGCAAAGAGACGTCACTCTTTGCAGGTTGCACAAAACAGGCAAAAGCTTCTATCAAAAAGGAAAGAGCATCAAGCTTGCACGTCGTGATATTTACATTATTGCATCAATTTATAGCAGAACAGGATCGTAAGCGAGTAAAAAGTAATATTTACAAATTAATAAAGCTACTAATCATGAGAATTGTGACACGCCATTAGCGCTTTGACAATACCTATTGCGTTTTCTTGATAAGCTCACCGTACACTAGATCTTTTAAACAACCCGCATGTTACTGCGTTACATTTTAAAAGCGTTGGTTAATATTAATTCATTTCGCACGTGTTGGTATAAAATTTTTGTGTAATCTATAAGAATATCAGCAAGAAGCACGCTTCGTTTGATTGTTGTTTGTCAACAGTTCATCGAGATCTAACATGCAATTGTTTCGTCTTTTGTTTTACACTGCCCTCTTGGCATCTTCTACATGTCTATACATAAATGAATAGATAATGATAAAATATACACAATAAATTTACGGTGTAACGTGTGCTTTGTGTTATTTGTAAACATAAGAATAGTTTGTGAAACTGAATGTATGAATATTCTGTTATCTTGTTTTTGGTCATTCTTATCATTAGTCATCAAAAAGTTACTAAATGAAACAAATGTTAACTTTGTTCCAAGCTTTTTAACGTAGTACATCTACACAATTTACGAAATATTTGGTAAAACTTAGGCTAGGCTCTAAAATCTCTCATAAATTGTCTGCATGTCGAATTATCTACGACATAACAATTAATTTATAATTTTTTTATAGCTACGTATCGTGTGAACATAGAGTAAGCCAATATGCTGTGACAATATATTTAAGCAATATCGTGAGATAAAATTGTGTACGCAGAATGAACTTTAAATAATCCACTTACATAAGGAAATGTGTCTTTTATTTATTTACGTGTTTATGTATTTTAATTGTAAAGCAGGATAATGAAATATATCTATTGAAGTAAGAATTAAGTTACGCTCATTATTTTGAATCACTATACAACTTAAATTCGGTGTTAGTGGTATCAGTTTTATTATAGGAACAATAGTTCAAATGGTCAATTTAAATAAAATGTTTGCTCCTACGTCTTGATAATCCCGATGTGATGCGTTTCGATATAAATACTGAATACACACGATCAAATTACATATTATAATAAGAGCTTACGGAAAATTTATAATATTACGCAACTAAATGTCCATTGTTATATTATGGGTCATTTCAGATATTAGGGCCAGCTCTGTTATGTCACCCAGATTCTTATGGTAATTTTTACGTTACATAAACAAGAGAAATAAACATTAAAAGAAAACCAAAATTTATGCGGCTTCAAATCAATTTAATGGCTATATCGAACAGCTTGTAATCAAAACAGACATATGGATTAGTGAAATCGATGTTCTCTACTAAAATCCGGTTATTCGTTGCAATTCCGTTCTTTAAAACAACTTATTCCACAATGGGCTTGGTGTGACACCATTTGAGATCCCCACTAGAAGTAAACCCTAATTTGGAATATAGATTTCGGGCGGCGACATTTCCAGCTACACAAAACGCGAAAACAACTCTTCCCTCTCTCCTCAATGTGTTCGATATGAGTTTTAGGACCAACTCTCCATATCCTTTTCTTCTATGAGCCTCAAGGGTGTACAAATGCCCTAGGGCTCCCATTTCTTTGACATAGCACCAAGCAACCAGTTCTCCATTTTGAAACAGGCCATAACCAAGCTTGGCTTTGATTAATAGCTGGTAGTACCAAATCGAGCCTGAATATTTGTGGGGCCAAGTGTCGTTGGATATAGAAGCATGTTTATCGGTCATCATCTCGAACGTTAGCTCTGGGGGTAATCTGAGAAACACACACTAATCATTAATATGGAAGACAAATCAATTTGTCTAAGGTTCAATTACATTAACAGTCTACTATACACTTGACCCAGTGGTCAAATCTAAAAATAAACTAAATTGTAAAAATATTTGTATTTTCTAATCTCGCAATACTGTTGGATTAGATTGTTTTATTTTAATGAATGTTCATGAAACTTACTCAACGTCGAAATATGGCGCATCATCCTCAATATAAAATGTTTCAGTTGTTGTAATACCTTTAATAAACAACCTCTTCTCATGTAAAATAGATTTGAAAGTGTCCGCCACGTCTATACGAGAAAATGCCAATTCTATCGGACTCTTCCAGTTTATGAGTTTCGTATGTTTCAATGCATTCACAAGGTCGGTCGTGACCTCTTTGGTGGGTTGGATAATTAATTCAAAGAAGTTTCCCTGCAACAAATAGTAAATTAAATATCTCTTAATAATAATCAATCTAATATTTTTTAACACTTATGTTTACTTCAATTGTCATACATTTTAGATGGAAGATTTTGTAAAATATGCCGTAGATTTAGTACTATGTATGTTGTGGTAAACTTTAATAAATAAATATTTCTATTCGATAACACTGATCTACATCTCAATTTCCGACAGTTGTCAAATGTGGACTTTGGAATATAAATTTGTCTGTTGAATGATTGATAACACATTACTAATTAGTCATCGTGCGCCTGCTACAAAGTAAATAGCAAACTTCTTTGGCGAGTTTGTTACACAATATTAAATAATACAAATTATTTCGGTTTTTCCCGACGCGTTACAAATTAATTTACATTGTATAACAGTGGTATTTATCGTTCGCTTTGTTATTTTTAAAATAACTAAATCTAACACATTTTTGAGACTTATATTCTTAAGCGCCTTCTTGTTTAACGCTATTGAGTTGGTTTATTTTTCATATTGTAATCAATACTTATTCAAAGATCTTATCCAGATGACAATTTTTTTTGTAACTGCAATTAAAATATTTATAATAATTCTCGCTCCCGTGTAAAGTGTATTTTTTTTAGATGTGTGATACTAGCGCGAGCAAATATAAGAATAAAACCAATGAATCCATAGTGTATTGAGGTCACGGTCGCCATAGAGAAAAATCATGACTCGTCATACATGTTGGTCTAAAGAAGCTGGTTTATAGACATTCAGTTAGATCACACAACAATCAACATCTTGTACTGTAATAATATTGAGTTATGAGTGATTCACAAATAAGAAACGAGTTAGGGTTTTCCCAACAGCTGTGCTAACACAGGGGACTTACCATATCATCTTTATTGACAAAAAACATGAAACCATTTAGTACGTGTGGGCATTAAGACTTTACTTGAATTCGTCAACAAAAAATTTAAAAAGGTAGAGAACACTGTGCATTATGTAAGCACAGGCGATTTGAATTAGCGATAGCTCCGACAAAGAGTTGAAAATTTCCTCTAACCTTTACATTTATTCCGACCAGACCATTGCACATGTCCCCATAAGGCACATATGCTTTGAAACCGTAATCAGCTCCGTTATTGATCATTAATTCTTCAATGTCCAGAACTCCATAGCCACATATGCCCCGAGGCCAGTCTCTTTTAAACACATCTTTGAGCTCTGGCCATCGCTCCATCGGTAGAGGTACTAAAGGTTCGTCACACATTGCATTACAATTACACTAATTAAGAAGAATACTGATCACGATTTGACAGACGCGAGCGGTCGAGAACACACGCTTATTACACTGCGGCTTTATTGACCTTGCTATGAATCGTAATGGTGATATCAGAGTGTGCATATCAGAGGATTAAATCCGTTGAATAATACTGCATTATAAGACAGCGAACACAAGAGAATTTTACTCTTTTAGATTGTAAGTATATTTCAAAGTAATAAGAAGTGTATCTTTTCAAATTGTCGTTACATTTTTCAATGTGAATAAAGCGAGCTAAGTCTATATAAAGCTACCACGGTAGACACTGGAAACAGTTGATACTTCAAGAGGAAAACATATTGCTTAGGTCTTCATGTCAATGTCATATCATTACCCTGTTGATATAGCAATTACTAATTCCTTTTTCTAACCAAGTGTAGAACGCAAAATTTAAAAAATTATGGTACATCACCAGCGCCACCTAGCGCATACTGCTTGATATGGCGGGGTTATAGTAATAAAATACATATCCATAAAGTTCTATATTATTTACACTTTAGATTGTTTTTAATTCAGTTCAAAAACGCCACATAAATAAACCGTTTGGATTAATTTCACTGAATTAAAGAAGGTATTGATTATGACTACAATAATTAGTTACAATGAGACGTAAGGTAATCACACGGACAGCAAAGTCACGCACCCCTAAACGCTAGTAAAATAATAGTTCATTTGTCATTCGATGAAGATCCAGCTAATTATAAAAGTTGCCTAGTTTATATGAGGATTCGTGCTCGAAAAATGGCTAACGTATACGTAAGGAAAGAGGAAAGTCCCTGTAGATAGGAAGCCTACCAATACATTTGAAGCTCAAATAGGTGACTTCCCTTCATTAAAACCCTTCAGGTATAATAGACTACAACCCTTAAACAACCAGGATGGTAACAATTCGTACATACCGGAAGCTCTGCAAACACTTGTAGCTGGAATAGAAAAGATTGATGTCTTCATCCAACAAATAGGGACTCTTATAAATACTACAACTACTAACAATAAGTTAGTTATATTTATCAGATAGTTAGTAAGCTAAGACAAACAATGGTAATAGCTCAACAGCCTAAGCATATAAATAAAGCCAAAATATTTCTATGAATCGCAACATGGAACATAACTGGCTTAATCCAAAATAAGCAAGATGTCAAGGTTTTTATCAATTACAATAGAATATATGTTTTACTGGTCACTAAAAAGCATATGATCGACTAAAGAGTAATAAAAATGAAAGGTTACAATGTATACTATACTAATCATTCTGATGGAACATCTTATGCTGGGGAAGCTGTGATAATAAAGGAAAATATTAGACATAATATCCTGCCACCATTCAACAATGCGCACATACAAGCCTCTATAATAGCCATAGATAAGTGGCAGGAATCACTTAATGTGGCTGCAGTGTACTGTCCATCTAGACACTGCAAAGTTAAGCATATTATGTATAATGACTTATCATTTCAGAGTACAAAAAGTCCAAAACACCTGGTTGTATTACCCGTGAAGAAGAATATGACATTTGTATCAAGGACAAGGCCTGTGGATAAAAAAAACACAATAGTTTTCAAATTATCGAATAAAACAAAACAAATATCCTTCAATTGATAATAAATGATTTCCTATCAAAGCCTTTGCATTAAAGTTTCTATATTTTTATAATTATTGATATAGCATTAAGGTTTTGATTAAAATATACCTACTGCTGTTTTTCATAATTATTCATTGTATGGATGAAGTATCATTATTACAAATATTATATTGTTATTGTTATAACTTCATGAAGTCATTAAATTAATTTTAGATTAATTAATGTCCAATTAATAATTTTATTATTACTACAATAATAATAACAATATTATTAGATATTCTATGCAATAAACATAATGTACCTAATACATAAAAATAGTAATAAAATTTTGTCATATACAAATCATAGTTGTCCAACTGTATTCAAAATAGCCAATACATAGCTAAATATTACCAAAAAAAAAAAGGGTGCGTGTACTTATGTAGGCGCGTAAGAAGTTATACTTCTTTGGCATTATTAAAAATAGTTTTTGATTGCATGCAAATAATTAATTACAATTAAATAATCAAAGACTGGAAAAGGAGTCATTATAGTCAATTAAGTTCAGTTTACATTTGAAAAATTAAATAAATAATTATTATTTATTATTATTCTCTTACATTAAGTGTAACATAAATTCTATGTAGTTAAAAGTATATATAATTATATATTTAGAACATCTCTACCAAACACTAAGAAGTATGTTGTAGCTTTGGCAGTATTGCACAATATAAAATTAATAAATTTCTTTGAAAAAATAATCAAAACTCCTTTATTTGTTTAAAAGGTAAATGACAAATGTCATTATGGTCATTCAAAATTCTTGGCATACGAACTTCACGCATATTCTATTTCTTTTTACTTGTAGATTGTCTTATTCCTATCTCGCTCGCGCACGCTATAATCACACTCCCAATTTTGTGTCATAGGTGCGCGCGCATCGTAAAATTTCACTCTCATAAATTTTTCATAACGCGCCTAAAGAAGTATAACTTCAAAAAACAATATCAATCACTTGGAATGCTGTAGATTAAGATCTTAAGGAATTGTAAGTTTATATATTTGATCCAACTGGCATGTTTATTGTATTCAGAAAAATTAAATAACTTTTTACTTAATCAATTTAAACTATTACTTTTTTCAAGAATGAAGTTTGAAGTTATAAAACACAAAAAAAATATTTTATATTTGAAATGATTATGTTAGGCATCCTTTGTTTAGTGCTGAAACATAATTAATATTTTAAAATTATCTGTCCTCACAAACATTTCACAATCACTACTCCTTGTCAGTTGTCGGGTTATGGTAAATATAAGCTTAAAGCTATTGGAAATTTAGCAAAACACGTAAACTAATATTATATGTAGGTACTATGTAATATAAATAAAGAAACTTATTACTTACTTTTTAGTGGCCCCTTTGCCGGATACGTTGAACGGTTAATAAATAATAACGATTAACGTCTTCGCAAATCGCAATATTCATAATAGGAAGTAGGTAGTTATATAATCCCGTGTGTCACCACCATAGGATAATTATATTTTATATAAACAAAAAACCATTGCAACATAGTAGTACAAAGATCCTTTATATTTCAATAGCCGAAATGCTGTTACATGATTTACGAACCACACTTACATGATTTACGAACCACTCTTAGTTCTTACTAAGTAACGTTTCCTTGTAGAGCGTGAGAACAATGTGTCAGCACAACGGTCACGTAGGCCTTTAAGAATAGGATATAAATATAATAGAATACTTGTAATATTTAGTATTAAACGGACCTCAAATCGGACCGGTTGTATTCATTTTAACTTTAAGTTTTTAAAAAACCCTTTTTTCGCGGACTCACTACTTGACTGGCGCTGAGGACAGGATAGTCGCTCTAGCTGCACGTACTTCTCAATTATCGGTTCGAGCATCAAATTCTGCTTACCTAAAAAGGGGAAACTACGTCGCGATTGCTAAAAACGGCTATTCAAAAGAACAAATAAATTTGTCAAGAACGCAAATCCAAAAGCGTTAAGGGTATTTTGTGCGAGTGTTGAGGCAGCGATGTACTGGTAAGTCACCTTTTCACCTTTCAAATCCAGCCCTCTCCACTTTTCTTTTGTTATTTTGAGATCGACATCTCTCATCTTAACGATAGTTTTAAGACTTTGTTAGAGTTAAATTCATATAAAGGTAAATTGTAATAAGTAAATTAAAGAAACATAGAAGTAAGTAGGTTAGTGCATGAAATTCTGCAACCCCTAAAGTAAGTATAAGTTTAGATTCACATCAAATTCTGTGAGCTATAATTATTGAGTAATTGTGTAATTATTTAATCAAACAATTCCTGAAAGAATACATAAAACCCAAAAAGAAATATTTTATATATTTCGGAAATACGGAACATCGCAAACAATTCAGCAACATGGTAATTAGGCTTTTTAAAGGTGTATCAATTCAATTTTATGAGTGTACGGAAAGAATCGTTTTTATTGACGATGAAAATGAACAGAACGCCGTTATTCTGAAATTTCATCTCGGAAAAACCTGTCACAGAGGTATTCAAGAAACTTTTACTCGCATCAGGCGACACTTCTTTTGGAATAACATGAAAGAAACTATATCAGCAGTAATTAATTCTTGTGAAGCCTGTAAACAAATGAAATATGACCGAAAGCCTTTGAAACCATATTTACAGTTAACTCAAACGCAAGATGCCCCATCCCAGGAATTATTTATAGATATATTTAGTATCGAAGGAAAAAGATACCTCACCTTAGTTGACGCTTTTAGCAAACTATTACAGGCAATTGAAATTCCTAGTAAAGGCATACCTGACGTTATCCGCGCACTAATAAAATACTTTTTATTTTACGGCATACCTAAGAAAATAAGCTGCGACCCTGGTCCTGAATTCAACAACGATTTATTTAAAGAATTGATGTCACTCTATAAAATCCAAATACATATCGGCACACCTAGGAACCCTAATTCAATGGGAATAGTTGAACGTTTTCATTCCACCTTAATTGAAATTTACAGACTGACAAAATACGAACAACAATGTACCGATGCCGCATCTATTATATCACTTATCATGGCATATAATAATGCGATTCATACTGTAACAACTTTAACACCGTTTGAAGTAGTGTTTGACCATGTAGATTCTGAAAACGCATTCAATATAGACTTCGAGAAACGATACTTGCAAAAATTAATTAAAGATCACGCCAAAAGAATAAAAGTTTTATACAAAATCATATCTGATAAAATGTTAACGTTTAAGGGAAAATCTAGAGAAAAACGCGGTGGCGAATCCGACGTCCCGTTGCCAGAAGGGAAAACAATTTTCACAAAATTAATAAACACTCGCAAAAGTAAGGACAAACCTTGT